TGTGGCTGGCCACGCGAAGTGGCGCCTCTCGTGCGGCTCTCACTTGGTTCGGTTCGCAGTCTTCTGCGCCACTGTGTTGCCTAGTCAGGGGCTGGGAGAGTGTCCCGGTTGGCGTGAGTGAGGGAATGAGGCGCGCGCGAAGGAACAGAGCCGCGCGCCCGTCCCTGCGCTGTGTTTCGTCCCGGTCAGGGCCCCCGGTGCTCGTCCTTTCCCGGGCGAGCCGCCCACAGTGTAACACCCCATCAACCAACAACCTAACTGGCAAACACCAGTTGCGCAGGAACGCTTGCGCAGTAATATACCAAACAATACCATCTCGCCGCGTCAACCAAATGAGTGAACTGCCAAACATGACATCGCTGATACGGACACTTAGTGGCCAGCCGAGAAGTGCGTTGCACTCTTGGCCAACGTATATTGACACGATAGCATTAATAACAGACAACCAAAGCATGTCCAACAGTCGTCGTATGGCAGAAGGCAACAAACCAGTCCGTGCTCGTGGGACGCAAGGCAAACTGATAAAAAAATAATACGGAAGTAGCAGGCGGGGGCCCATAACCATTTACCCAGCCTACATTAGGGACCGAAAATTGCCCGAAGACGGTTGCCGGTTCTTGGGGGCCTTATCTAAAACAGGGCGTCCTTTAGGCGAGGCCATCTAGGCATTGTATATTATTATGCCTTGGCACCTAGTATGATGGCATTCCGCATGCAATTAATTTAACGCCATGTCACGCGAGGGTTAGATTTTCAATGCTCTGAGCTTGGTCGGTAATAGGCAGCACTAAAAATTTTCCCGGCTGTGCTAGATATGTTCCGTCCTGACGTTTGTTTACATGGCGCATAGGAATGTCAGGCATTATTTTAGGAGGGCCAACTGTTTCCAGAGCTCCTCGTGTGCTTGTGGCAGGAGCGCCGCACGTCGGTAAAAGTAAATTATGCCAAGTCTTAACCGGTACAGAAGACTCACCACATGGAAAATGCGTGCCTTGGACGATACAAACGAAGTACTATACTTCCAACGTGGAGGTCTGTGAAGTGGAGGTCTGTGAAGCCCAAATCACTACCCTGCCCGAGGCGCTTTTATTGGTCTTCAACCTGTCGGCACCCAATACATTTGAATCGCTACAATCCTTTGTAAAGAATATTGACCTTAACGTGGTGGAGTTCAAGTTGCTATGTGGAACTTATGCCGATGCATTGATTAAACCGGGCTGTACAGCGGATAGCTTAGACACGGCATTTCAGCCTGACTGGTTCCATATGGCAATGCGTTGGTCTTTTGATAATGGGTTTGAGTTCGTAATTTGTTGCCCCTCTATGCCCGAGCTAGATGCAACGCTAATCCTCGACGGAGACAGACATGGTGTCCTCCGCGTAATGGAAGCTTTGCGCACGCATCCATGGTCTTTTAATGGTCCGGTACCTAAGGGTCTGTTTGAGCCGATTCAGGAAGAGGCGCCGAAACGGCAGGATTTGCGACGAGGAGGAGTGTTTGCAGACATGGGATATAAGGAAGCGGTCAAACCAATTGAAGACAATGCTGGTCATGTGGAGCCGGTGTATGATGAACGCATAATGGATGGGTTTGAGCTTCTTATGGCGGATATAGTAGGTAAGGCTTCTGTGAACGTGCGCGAACTTGGTGCTTTTCAGGAATCCTTAGCCCGCTGTACGTGTGGCAAATGCAAGCCTCTGCGTCCAAGTAGAATGGTTTACTTAGGGTCCCTATACACAGGTAATACATCGCCCCCAACGCGGCTGCGCCTGTGGCCTCCTTTCCTGATAGGTTTCTAATGTAGCTGCGGCGCGTCTGCTGCCTGTGCTACTACTTTTTGCCTATCGAGCCAATGATGCATGGACAGGTCGGCTTGCGGGCGGGGTCAGGGGCGTAAGCTAGTACAGACCCTTTAATAAGTATGGCTGTAAGCACCTAAGCACCCGCGCTACCTTGCAGACCCATTTATTCATCCCTCTTCTTGTTTCCTCTTACTGCATGCTTTGTATTTGTGGGCGGCCAGGACACAAAGCGAATTTGGCAAGCTTGCCCAACGAGGAACGGCGTGAGCAGGCATCATTGCTTGCCTTGCGAATGCTCGAGGTGCTGGGCTTCGATGACGAGCAGAATGAAGGCGATGATGCTTAGTGCGGCGTTCAGCCCCGGTGTGTGTGGGTTAACGTAGCGCCTGCGGTTGCTGTTTTCACGAAGGTGCCCACAAGTACACTTCGTGTGATGGTTGAGAATGATTTGTTAGTGAGGGAAAAAGACATGTTTCTGAGACCTGGTGCTGCTCCGTATGATTGATAGCATGGGAATGCTCTGGTGACTGGGAACGGAAGGCTAGAATTTGCACTGGCAAAGGAGTAAAAAACTTCATGTTCTCTTTTGTTTTTCGTTTAGTCGACCAGTAGTCATCTGTTGTGCCATTTTTCGGCTTTCAGCCACCTCGACTTGGGAATATATACAGTATTTATAAAAGCTTTTTTTGCGGAATAATTGCGAATTCGGATTAAATAAATAAAAAATGTTCGCGGTCCTGAATATTAATGTTCCGACCGTACAAGTTCATTCCTCCAGCTAAAAATGGACTGTCCATGCCAAAGCCGCTAGAATCTTACAGGAGGCATACATGTTAACCATATCATAGTACTTTAATGCCATGGCTACTGTTAGGAAGGTCACGCCCGAAAGTCAACGAGGAATCAGACTGTTTCTGACCGGACCAAACGCTGCAAAATATTCGGACCCAAAGCTCCCTAAACGTGGAAGGCCATTAAAGAAGATATTAAACTTCACTGAAGCCATTAGCGAAGTTAATAAGACGGCGTAGAGGTCGTAGGCAATGTGGACGCAATGCTGCAGCCAGCCGACGACAATTACGCCACTCCGGATGTCAACCGTGAGCGGGCCAAACGTCAACGTTCTTCATATGGAGGCAATGGCGATGGGACAGGATACATTTTTGCCGGTTAATATTCCAGTCCGAACGGAGGAATAGGTTTTTGGTCGCGGGAATAAAAGTATTCCGAATCTGTAAGGCGCTGGGGAGGGCCGGAGCCCCCCCCCGACCCCCCCTCGATGAGTTACAGTTTAGTTCGTGCAAACGCAGGGTTTGGGGTATATCGCAACACGCGCACACCACAATCTCTCAAGCACTGATCGAATAGAGCTTGTTCACCATCGTTCGTCTTGCATCATGTTGAAAGATAACACTACACGACTTTTCGGGTAGCAAAAGTAATGATGCATAGCAGCATCGAACCGGAACCACCAAACGCAACCTGTTTCCTGGGCCATCGCGATTGTCTCCATGTGACAACGTTGATGTTTGGCCCGCTTCCTGTTGACAACCGGAGTGGCGTCATTGTCGTCGGCTGGCTGCAGCATTTCGTCCACATTGCCTACGACCTCTACACCGTCTTCATTAACGTCGCTAATGGCTTCAGTAAAGTTTCATATCTGCTTAATGTTTAATGTCCCTCCACGCTTTGGAGCTTAGGGTCCGAATGCTTTGCAGCGTTTGGTCCGATTCCTCGTTGACTTTCGGGCGTGACCTTCCTAACAGTATCCATGGCATTAAAGTACTATGAAATGGTTAACATGTACGTCTCCTGTAAGATTCTAGCGGCTTTGGCATGGACAGTCCATTTTTGGCTGGAGGAATGAGCTTGTACGGTCGGAACATTAATTATTCTTAACTTTCAGAACCACGAACAATTTTTCATTATGAGTTCGGAATTATTCCGCAAAAAAATAACGCTGCTCGCGAGCCTGGCTCGCGGAAGGGTGCCGGTGAATTACTAATCACGCCGTTTTATTCCAGAATGGGCATTGCGGTCTGAGTGGGTTTTTATAGAAGAGGAAAACGCAGCACACAAAAAGGGAAAAACCAACACGCTCTCAGTTTGACTCCAGAGTGCTGTCATTGACAGTTTACATGCTTCACGTCCTAAGGCTGGGCACAGGAAGGTAGTAATACTGGATTCACATGCTACGTTGAGTTGCGAAAACTTTTTGGGAAAAGTGGGCCTGAAAAAGTCACCCAGTTCACATGGGACATTACGACGACGTTGTGTTCGTTGGCGCGAGCTGTGTAAACCATCTCCATTTTATGTCTTTCAATGGCCAAAACTTCAGCACATCCCCTTAGAATCGCAATATATAATTGAAGGGTTATTGGCAGCCCTGCCTTGTGCAATGGCACTGCATCCGGCGCGAGCCGCGATGGCGTTTGCCCTAGCGGTCGCGATGGATGAAATTTTTGATAACCTTGAAGATATGTTCGATGCTCAGTGGCAGAGTTTGAGCATGTGGGCCGACGCGGCGCGGCCCATGCCTGTTACAGGGTGTTTCCACTTGGCCGTACACTACCTTTTTAACATTATCTTTAATGTGGACTTAGTGTGTGGCTAGTGGACAGGTGTTTCCACTAAGCGCCCCGGAACCATACGCCAGGTTGCTATTAAGGCACCAAACCATTGTTATAGTAAGATTGGTGTAATTAATGCGCAAATCATTACAGCTTGGTCGGCTAATTGCTGGAATGTGGGCAATTCGACCGGTTCTGCTGTGAGTTCCACTGGCCAGCGGGCTATTTGCGGCTGTGGATATAGGAAAATAGAAAAGTCAACGAAGGACCTTGAGAAAGGAAAATGGCTGACTATGAATTTTCCCGCTCGGAAGTTAATGTCCACTTTTATCAGTTCGCATAATAAGCTCCAATAGTGTAGGCAGAATGCCGGAACTATGGAGCTGTCAGCTGAAATAGTAAATTCGAAATCTCAGCAAGCCGTACGGCTGCCGTACATAACTTAGCTTAGAGGCTGTACTCGCTTTGCTCCTGCCGCATCTAAGCTACAATTATGTCCTATAACCTTCATGGCTTGCTGTACGGTTGCGTTCGAGGTGCCGGATAGGACAGGGCGAGGCGGAACCGGGGCTGCCAAGGGCCTTACACTACTGCAGACAGAAAAGATAGCAGGAGGGGCCCCCTGGCTCAGGCGAGGCCCAGGTTGCGCGTGGTTTCTAGTGCGGCATCGCCCTCCCGCCGGGTATATAGCTGCACCATTGCGTCCGTCTTCCAGCGACCGTGCGCCTTGCGGGCCTCTTCAGATACCCCTCTGGCTGCTGCCGCGCTGTTTCCCCCGATGCGCATGGAGTGTGGAATGATTCCGCGCTTGATGCCCACGGCGCTGCACATGGCAGCAAGCTTCTCCCGGAAAGAGGTATCGCTGAGGCTGCGGATAGGTGACTGAACAGAGCCGGTCCTCTGCTGCAGCTGGTGGCCTTGCTGTGTCGCCTTAACCCTGCGCAGCAGCGGACCCACATCCTCCACGGGGGAACTGGGGACACGGACATAGTTACCAAGCACCAGCAGCCTCTCTGTCAATCCCACTGGCCAAGCCACGCCCACGCGCGCGATCCGGATGGTCTGCTCTTTGCCCTCCTGGTCCGTTTTGGACCTCGGCAGTGTGATGGCCATGTGAGTGTCGTGCAGGGTGAGCAGGTCAGACTTGACGGAGATGTGGGCTAGGTCGTTGAACCTCAGGAAACCCGCGAACATAACCGATATGGCCGCTACCATCATCAGGTCTGGCAGTGAGGCGTCCGGCCCAGCGAAGTGAGCGGCCAACATGCGGACATGCTCTGGTTGCATGCTTTCCCTGTGCAGCTTCTTCCCTTGCAGTGTGCGCCTGCCCAGGTCCCGAACGAGGTTGCATGCTGGGTGCTCCGTTGGTGAGGGGCGGCCTGCGAGAAAGAAATGGCAGGCAATAGCAGCGCTCGCTCCCGCGACGCGACCCGGACCTACTTCATCCGCTTGCACGGTTTGGTAGACGTGCATCAGGTTCATGGCCACTATCTCTGGCCTGATGTCGTAAATGTCGCTCGCCCGAATGTGTAGTAGCTCTGCCCAATCTAGGAAATCCTGCCATGGCTCCTTGTACTGGGCGACTGTGCTGCTAGCTCGCGCCTTGTGTGCCGCGTGCCCTTATTCCTGTGAAAACCGGGGGGCATAACGGTCGGGTGGTACAGCGATCTGGCACGGGGAAGGTGTTTGGAAATCGATGAGAAGTGCGTGCGATAGCCAGTTCGCGGACCCTTTTGGGACCTCGTTTCCCGAAGACCCTGGCAGGAAGAGATCATACGCCTTGCCCAGCTCTCTTAGGCCGTGGACGCAAGGCGCAAACCACTTCCCGTCTTGAGTCAGATAGGACCACCAGTCGCGCGTCGGCCAGAGGGGAACGATCAGACAGATGCGTGCTTTGCACAGCTCTGCGTGCCGCAGGACTTTAAGTAGCAGACAGAAAGGCGGGTTCGCCCAGCAATTCCGCCCCCAGTGAAACCGAAAGGCATCTACACCCACGGTATCTGGCGTGAAGAAGCGGGAATAGTATTGTGGCAGCTGGTGATTGGTGTGTGACGCGAAAAGATCAATGTCAAAGGAACCCCAGGCGGTGTTGAGCCTCTGAAATTCCTTACGGTTCACCATCCAGTCGTCCCGGTCCTGCAGCTTTGAGAGGTAGTCCGCCAGAGTGTTTTCTTCTCGCGGCCGCCACTCCGCCTGCAGTGTGATACCCTCGGCAATACAGTACCAAAAGATTTCGCAGGCAATCCGGTACGAGTCCTCGGCTTTTGCGGACCCTTTGTTGAGGACGTTGGCGCAATTGAGATTGTCAGTAATCACCCGGACGACTTGATGTCGTAGGCCTGCAGGACCGTTGAAGGATTGAAGTGCGTGTAGGACTGCCTGGAGCTCCTGGGGCGTTGACCCCATCGAACTGACCCTTTCTCCACAATTACCGCGGGCTTGGGCCAACTTCCCGTCATTCAGCGTCCAGGCACCCCAACCCCCGAGGTGCTTGGGGGATTTCCCGGCTGCATCGCAGAAAACCACCGAGTGCACCTGTGTGGGCTCCCAGAGGGCACGGGTTCCGTTAAACCGGTCGAAACAGCGCAGCCAGAACTCGAGCTCTGCAGTTGCGTCGTTAGATAAGCGGATGTGGGTATCCCAGGTGTGGCGCGACTCAATATCCTGCCCCAGAGCCCGGGTGTAAAGGCGGGCTACTTGCCCGAACGCCCAGGACATGGACAGAAGCTGCTTTTTTATGGAGGCCAATTTTCTCGCCTTGATGCGCCGTTTTTCCAGAGCCGAGCGGATGCAGTCGAGCAGGAAAGTGCGCTTATCGTCAGGCACAATGTACACGCCCTTAGCTGTATCTAACAGCATACCCAGATACCTCACTTGCTGCTGGGGTTCGCCCATCATTGACTTGTCACGGTTCACACAGAACCCCAGGCGCTCGAGGAGGTCGAGGATTATGGTGCGGCGGGCGACTTCAGGATCGTGAATTTTCACGAGGTCTCGATACCAAATGTAGCAGCTGACCGCTGAAAAGGTCTCTCGTGTTGCTGGTGGTCGCGCTCTGCGCGTATTTATAGCACCGTACTGTGTACCGGCTGCTACAATGCCCAACAGGCGGAGGCAAGGCCAAAAGGGAGTTGTGTAAAGACGTAGAACTGGCCTTGCCATTCAACGTCTGGCAAGGTTTGATGGTCTCTGACTCCAGCAAACCCTCGTTGGTAGAAGACACAAAATCCCCGTGGTCCTGTGCAGATTGGTGATTCTTGCCCCAGTACGGCCGGGGGGTTGGTCCTGAGTGCCACATCAGAGGAAACCCTTGCAGGACCCAGCTCAGCACGAGCTGGTTCACAACTATCGCCTTCCAGACCGCGGCACAGGCTCTCAAGCACCCCCGCATCTTAGGCCTATCCTTGCTACCCGTGCTAGGAGGTGTGGCTTCACAAGGCGGATCAACAGGCAAAGGTGCTGGGTTCTCACCTTCTGGGACCGCTTGTTCACTCCTCATTGGGGCTCCTGGGCCTGGATGTGGTTCCTGGGCTTGGCGGGCGACCTTGGTCCGGGGCCGAGTGGGCTCTGCGGGGCCGGGTGCAGGACGCTTGGCAGTGTTCTTGGTCTCCACTTGTGTGTTGTCGCGTTGGGCAGGTGGGGGCTGGGTTTCGCGCTGGAGCCCCGCCCAAAAATGCATGGACAACTCCGATGATGGACTTCCCAGCTACATTTGGTGCTGCCTGTTTGGTTTGCTGTGGGACGCGATGACTAAGCAATGGCCAGGCTTATGATGGTGCAGCCTGCAGGGACCGCTTTTGGTGATATGTGCTCGCTTGTGTGTCAAGCGGGAAATGTGCTGTTGTGGTGCTGGTGAAGATGAGCATGGGCTATATTTGGACAGCTGATTATGGAGCTGTTCGTTATGGCTGGTTCCACATGGGCAGGGGCACCTTGCTTTGTGAAGACATCCTTCGGTGTTCAGTTTACCGTATTGCTGACCCATGAGTTGAAGTGTCCACGAAATTGACCTGGACGTTTGGTACTGGCATCGGTGACCATGTAAACGCTTTCACCGACTCTGTGAAATTGGCCATAAGTAACAGCACATCATGTAAGTGACTATGGACAACGACACCATCCGTCCTCCGTCTGTTGCAGGCCCGTCCCTATTCGCCATTCTGCAGCTGCAGCCTGCCCTCATCTTACCTTGGAACCCCCATCCTAATCCTCCATGTGTGTCCCAATCCTCATCCTGCGGCGGCGAGCCCATCCTAAACCTGCGACAGCCTGCAATCCCCATCCTGCCAGCCAGGGTCCCATCCCCATCCTTGGCCAGGGTACCCAATCCCATCCTTGGTCAAGGTTTCAATCCCCATCCCTCCGACAGGGGATTCCCATCCCCATCCTCGCCCCGACAACAATCCCCAACCTGAAAGTGTAGCAATCCTAATCATTGCCTTGGCCCCTACATCCAATCCCCATCCCGCCTGACCAGTACCTGCCCCCAAAATCCCCAACTTTGCAACCCGATGCAAGGGCCTAAGGACTATATCAGTCTTCATCTTTAAAGGAATAAAGCTGCTCGCTTAGCTTTGTACAATCTTTGCAACCCTCCGGTTTCATACGCCTGGATTTAGGAACGGAATGACGTACAACATTTGCCATTCCGTGCATAAAATGCAAAAACTAGTATTGCCGGACATTGAAACGGCTATCGGGTATCAATATGATGGCCTTGCAGCACGTTTGAACGACACCCACGGTGTGGTGTATAAGTTAAATTTTAATGAGGAGCAGGAAGCGCAAAGCTTCCACAAAACTAGGAACACCTGCAGCCTTTATAAAGGATAACCTTCCAACCTATCAATCAGGTTTTTAATGAGGCGTTGTAAGGCGTGTTAATCCGAGATTGTCAATTTGATACTTGGTGGCCACCAGATAGCAAATCTTCCCACCAAGGTTGAGCCTTTAGTATAGGAAGAATGCTCGCATTTCATAGCATATTAATCTATATACTTAATCCGCGAGGAGCGCGAATACGGGCGTAAATTTCTATCTAATCCACCCAACCTTAATCCGCCTAATCCGTCCTAATCCGCGTGGTGTTTACATATGCGACGGATTAAGCCTTAATCCGCGACTTTTAATCCAAGTGGAAACACTCCCCTAGTGGTAGGACCGTTTCCAATAAGGCCCGACAATCTTCTCCTCCCACGTGCAATCGCATGCCTAAATTGTAAAATATCCATTACCATGATAGTGTAGCACTATGCAATTTTGTTCCCTGCGAAAGTTGCTACCAGCCGCGTGTAATTTAAAGCCTGGACTTAGAGGAAAGATCCTGTTACAGCGACCTCTAACTTTCAAAAGCTATTCAAAAGTAGGTGGGGGGCCATAGCCTTTTAGCTTGCCTCAATGTCTCTACCTGTTCATGTATCTATCTGTATCTGACTTTTGGCGGGAACATGCCCTGTTGTCCAGGAGTACGTCGCTGAAAGACGAGCAAGCATTCCCTAGCGCCCGCCGAACCAAAAGCTTGGAGAGTGACAGCGCTAAAGCATGGAATGTTCACTTGATACCTTGGACCAGAGGCGTCGTTTTTCAGCAGCTCGTACTGTCACTTTAGCAGATTGCCGACATGAATCCCCACGGGTCGCGGTCGTGGCTTTCCTGGGATTGGGCATTGCCAGTGTAACTGCAGTGGTCAGTATAATTATGATGAAAACGCGCTCCAGGCCGGCTGCGAAGGGTCCTCCCGCCAAAGGCAAGCTGCACAAATCCACAAGAACTCGTTCTGTGTCTTCTGAAAATCCACAGGTACGCAGCATGTATATGCTCATCCTTTTCAGACAACGCCTGATCTCGTGACTCGTGTCGTGCTGAGCCTTTCCAGGTAAAGGGTCTACAAGCCTCAACGCGACCTACCATGTCACCAAGCAGAGACTTCCCGCCAGATGCCACACATTCAAAGCCTGCTGTGTTTGCCGAGGGCAGCACGATCACGTGGTACACGCCCATCACGAATGGCAGAGCACCCAGCAGAGACCCAACATCACAGGTCCCTGTCCAGACGCCTGACACTGAAATTCGGCACTCTATACTCCCTTTGCTGGCCGTATCATTAAATCCAATTTCATCAGCAGAGGAGATGGCAGCAGTCAGGGGGCTGGTGCCCCCTCTGATTCCGGGGCAAGCACCATCTTCGGAGTCAGATTTGACCCCAGCCCAAGACGTGGCCCAGAAAAGAGGCCTGGCGCCGCAAGTGCCTCAGACGCCAGCGCCTTTGCCGCCTGCCACGTCCACAGGATGGGTGACCTCTGTGGATTCCAACTTGCCAACACCCAACCTTGCTATAGCTAGCAAGGGTCTGGCGCCGTCATTTCCGCGCATATTTGCACCGTGCTCGTCCTCAGCCGAGGAGCGTGGCTGCAATTACGATGCTGAAAGGGTTGCCTGTGAGGCAGGCCCTTTGCCATCATTGCGAAGTGCGGTTGCGACTGTTGGAGAGAGCGTCATCCTGCAGCACTTGCGAAGGACGGATAACTTTTCCGTTCTTGAGCAGGAACAACAACGGGCCAACCAGCGGCAGGAAAAGCCAGAGGGGCAACCGCCTAAGGATTGCATATTAGACCAGATCCAGCCGAAAGGGGCATGTCGTGTGGCGGCCCTGAAGGTTCTGTATGGGCAGCTGCCGCAACAGAGCATGGCGCAGTCAGTTCCTACACCTGTGGCGTCCAACGCCGTCGTTACAGTATTCCCGCCCAATGTTGAGACTGTGCAGACGAATCAGGTAAGGGAACAGGGGCACATGAGCATCTTGGTGGACACGCCGTTGCACGTACCTTCCATGAAATGGTCTCAGTGGGCATCCTTATTCCCCTACCCCTAGCATTCTGCCGCAGATGGCGTAGAGTTGGTCAGGGCTGCCCTCATCCCGACCGATAGCCTGGAGGACGCCATGGATAGCTTAGAAGCGAAGTCACCTGCTGTCGACATGGCCTGTATGGAAGCTGCGCAGGCGCAATTCCGGGCAGAGGTGGAGGTGAGTGGGGATGGGAGCTTGGGGCAACTATAGGGTGTAGGCTTTCTATGTGCTGGGAAAGAGCGAGTCCCCTCTACGTCCGTGCAGACCGGTTACTTGCGCGCAAAGAATGGTTGGATAACGGGGTCTGCCATGCAATCGGGCCCAAGCCAATACATGCAAAACCGACGCTTTATGATGGATTTGGCGGCAATTTGGTCGATGTGGCACGGATGTCGTGGTCAGCATGCATGAGCGACGGGTGCACTGGATAAGACGTATGGCATTCTGGTCAGGCTATTGTTCTGCACATTATAGCTTTATTGGCAGTGTACGGAAAGGCTATGGGTTTTTCGGAAGCTGGCCGTATGCAAAGGGGTGGTCTGGAACCCAAACACTTAATTCTTTGCCCTCTCAAAACTGTTTTCCGACGCGTCAAATAGTCAGGTTGAAATCATTACTACAATCCTAGAGCAATAGTTTCTTAAGCAATTTTTAAATAATGTACGTTGTGATGTCCAGTGGCGTCATCACCACGGAGAACCCAACATTTGTAGGATGGAACCTCCGGAACCTCCAAACCCGTTAAGACGACGTTTAAATGCTAATAATCTTATCGGGGCCTACGGTGTGTCAGGTTCCTTGGCGGCTGGCGTGCATGCAGAGGAAATATTTGGTCCATGGCCTGTGGCTGGTACCAATTAGCATCTTTAGACAAACATGACATGGAGGCAGGGATTGTAGGAGGCACCGTAAGATGGTGCAATGGCTGGAAAGCAGGCAAGCAGAGCTTAAATGCTTTGTGTGCGGTCCTAGGGGTGCGGGCACTTCACGCCTTTAAAGTGATCACGGGGGATGCCGGAGAGCAGCCTGGGGCCGGCAGTGATGACGGAGGGAGGCAGCCAGCTGGTGGGAGAGGGTGTGGAAAGGGCCGCGCTGGTGGCGAGGGCAAGCGACGGGCGTGATATGTAATGGACATGAAAATCGCTAAACAACGCAGAATTAAACAGTATGTTTCGTAGTTATTCGGATAATGACATTAAGAAAGAGAATTTTAGCAAGGTTGGATAATGCGGTTTAAATTACCACAGGAACAAATTACGTTAAATTAGGTAACATACAAAGAGCTCGTACTTTGCTAGATTCGACCTTGAGTTTGCGTAGTCATGAATTTACATGCATGCCAGGTGACATGCAGGTGACAAGCATGAAGGGCAGGTGAGGTATGCGGCAGGTTTATGAACAAATAAGCGCATAATGTGCCTGCAGGAGCTTTGCGAACTTTCAAACACCGCGTTCATGGTCCGCAAGTACAGGTTATATGGTACTCACTAAAGCTGTATATGGTACGCGATGCTGTGACAGTGGCATTGGTGCATGGTCGCAATGGAAGGCGTATATGCTTATAAAAGCATTGGCTGCCATTCAAATTTCGCTTCAAATAGAGGATACGCAAACAGTCTTAATTAGAGTCGCAGATGAGCCGTAGATTCTATTTGGTCACTTTGGACGGATTGACAAGGTTGCTATGAGACGCTTCGAGCGGGGCCCTTTCCCAAAAAGTGTGGGTGGAACAAGTCATAGGTGTACGGGATATCTGTTGGCAGGTGCGGGGCTTTGTATGGCATATCTTTCCTTGGCATATCATATACCTTTCGCTCCCTAAATGGTTATGCAGGAGGCTCGGCTTCGGTTTGCCTGAACATTATTTACATACAGGTGGTAAAATAACCTGTTCTCGGCACCGTGTAGTGCCGCCCATGCGTCCCTCCATTCACTGCCAGCCGATTCCCCTTTCCCAACAGGCGGAGCATCTGTTGCTGGACGCTACAGCAGCCTGGCACTTGGAGGGCAACAGAGTGCACGGAGTTATTCTGGCGAGGCGGGCGTTGGAAGCACTGCGGTCAGGGCCTCATCGGGCCAAGGTGCGGTGTTAATACAGTGCTGCACTAAGAAAAAAGGGTTGGAGGAGGGCGTAGGTAGAGTGTCTGACTGAGAGCTGCTGCCGGCTACTCTGACGGGAACCCCTCTTGATGGCAAAACTTTAATGTGTTTGTGCTAAATCCATTCCAACTCACCTACGCATTGTGTGCTTGTTGCCGGTGCTCTTTGTCCCGTCAAAGTATCGGTCGGAGGTTGCTTCATCTCTGGCCGACATGCTTCATGCCATGAATCTCTGGGATGAGGCCCTTGACGCGGTGGACGAGGCCCTGCAGGCGGCCCAGCAGGCTGGCGAATGGGCCCTGGCTGTTAAGCTCAGTAATAATATGGGTGCGCTGTACAAGGAGCTTGGCCGGTAAGCTGGGTGGGTCAGGAGGTGGCCAGGTTCCAACTACGCAAATGCGGGATCAGGGGATGGAAAATTATATGGATTTTTCCACATCGGCGCATTACGATGACCCACTGGTTGTTGGCGGTCATTCTCAGATCCTCATATGTGCTGCAGTCGTACTATACGATAATTCATTTAAACTAAAGAGCACTATTCGCAATTTGGTATGATTTTGGAATTGCTCCTTAGCCTTAGCCTTACGAGAGCATCATGTGAAGGCTTTTGCTGCATTCTCGGCAACTCTTTTACTTGTCGTATGCCAACCAGTGTTGTTTCTTTGAGCGATATATCACTCACAAGCGAGAAAAACTCCCTCTGGAAGCGAAAACGAGCTTCGGCGCTATACATTCCATCGCTCACCCTGTTCGGCCCGTAAGGGCCCGTAAGGACCCGTAAGGGACAGGGCAAACTATTACGAACCATCTTTAAAGGTGTTCATTTCAGTTCATAATTTTGACCTACGAGATGTCGCAGAGAGGCATAGGATGCTTCTTGATGGGTCGTAATGCTGCAAAATACAGGAATGTAGCTGAGCCAAACCACACGCTACGCGTAAGGTCGGCTTGCCCCAAGGAGGGGCACTGTCTTAGCCTGTAGTGGGTGCGTTTGAGGGTGCCGCAGTCTATGTTGTGATGAGATTCTTGATAAACTGTACGAGCACGGTGAGTCTAATGAGGTGCTATTACCGATTGCAAGCTTATAAAAAGCAAAGCTCTAGCGATGAGCTAATTAGCTAATTGATGAGTTGTGTTCGTGTAGCAAACTTCCCTCTACCAAAGTATGTTTTGCTATTGCCTTCCCTGGATGTGGAAAATTAACCTTCGCTTCCTTCGCACTACCTTATGTCCGTGTTTTCATGAGAAGTCTTCGTTACAAAGAAAGAACCTGCAAGCAATAAAAACAGCCGTTGTGATAGGGTCGGGCCGGGTGTGGGCGCACTAACCCGAAGCGACAAATAGGCCTGCAGTCCAACCGCTTCAGGGCAGCAACCAAACGCAGCTCTACGCAAACCCGAGGTAACCAGCACAGTCACTCGCAGCGACACATAACTACGCCATACCGTACATCGTACAATGGCACTTCACAGAAAACCTTAGTTTTCTATATGTTTCGCTTGGAAAACTATCAGTTCTTTCTCGTCCCCCTCTTTTTTATCTTCTCTGTCCTCTTCCTCACGTTCAATTCCCTTTTCGTATTTATTTCTCTCATTTCCGTCCATTTAGTCTTCTTCCTTCTCTCCCCCTCTTTGTAAATCCCCCTCCAATATCTCCTCTTTCCCTTCTCGCCCTCCACGCTTCCCTCTCCTTAGGTTCCTATTATCCCTCCTCTCCTTGCTTTCGTACCTCCCTTACCTCTCCTCTCCTACCTCTTCCTCCTTTTCGTCATGTATGTCCTCTCCCTACTGCCGCAGTGTTTAATTTTTTAATTATTGTCTTATGTTACGCTCCTTATTGACACTGTCAGGTTTTCTTGATGTTGAGCTTTGCATATTACCGGGTTTCCATATTTTTTTCATGGACTTTGCATATCGGTGGTGTTACATGTATTCTAACTGGCATTTAAAAGCTGTCCAGGGGCTGATGTGCAGACCAACAAAGTGATAAGGACGGCAGTGTTCTGTTGCTCTTCTTCAGCTGTTTTCTCCCCGGACGTGGGAGCTCCCGATACCTCGAGGTATCACACACACGCAAACTAGCCATTTTATTGCACACACGCACACTCTCCATCAGTTAAAGTCTATCCATACCTGGTCTGATGCGATTGTTGGGGTTGGAGTGATCAATTCGGCAACCTCGTACATACTGTACACTACCCTAATAACGCAAGAAATATTAAAATAAAATTGCGAAGACCGTGTACCTTGCGGCATCGTGTGATTTTGCGCCGCAATAGGATATGCATGGGCTTTGTGAAGATGGCCTTGTCCGCAGACGCTGGAAGGCTTCAGAGGATAGCAAGTCCCACTTCAGCATTCAATATCGCAAATAGCGCCGGAAAGACTGCTGGCGGAGAATACGAAAAGGAATAGCATTTACAAACGTGTATTAAGCAAACGAAAGAATGGTTGAAAAGGCGGGAATACTAAGTCACGTCCCATAGAGGATGCACTTTTACGTACTTACATGCGCGAAAATTTGCCGTTGCAGCAAGGCTGCTGAGTCCAGTACTGTGAAGCTGAATTCTTCTATCTCGTACCACTTGTCGATGTCATAAATATTGTACGGCGTGCCGAGCAGCGCTATCTTTGGGGATTGCGCTGGTATAAAATTGGACTCCACTTTTCAGGATGTCACTTGCTTGGTTGGGGTATTTCAGCCTGAACAGGCAATGCATCGATATTCACCACGCAATCGACACGTTAATTGATTGTAATGATATGTACAATTGCACAATTTTCTAATTACGTTATGAGAGTCATTGGTGAAAGCTTAAATTGTAAAATACAGTAACTGTGGGCTCGTGGTCGCACCTGTATACCACGGCAATGGTTTGAATTTCAAGGGGCTTTTTGCCCAGAAGAATAATGCCTTGGTGCATCTCCGTCACGAAGGGCGATGTCATTGTTAAATGCACCCGCATTATAAGCAGCCAGCATGTCGGCTCTGTTGTTCATCACGTGATCAGGTAAAATCTTGAAGAGGGCGCGTGGCGTCCCACATTCTTTGTGGGGATGATGACCAGCTCCACTGGAGCTGGTGTGGGGGAAAAAAGATGGGTAAGATGAGATAGGAATTTGGGAGTGGTGATAATTGCTCGCAATTTGTATGAAACTAACTTTTTGGAGGATGGCAAAGACGACAAGGCACCTGTTAGGTGTGTAGTACTCTGGGTATCACGGGAAATTGTCATCCGCCGATCGGTTCTTTTCTGCAAAAGACGTGATACAACAAGGTGCAACTACGAACTGCCAGGAACGCCGTTCACTTCTGGGGACTCCCTGTTCATGAAACATTTGTTGTGAGTTCCTGCAACGTGCAAGTTAGTGTTGAGACTTGCTGCATGATGGCTAGGCACGGTTAATAGGATTAAATTTTGTAGAATTATGGATGTGAAAACCACGTTTTAATATGGTGGGTTACGTTTCAGCTGCACGCAAGGAGTTGCTGCACCGTGTGAGATAGTGTTGAGACTTGCTGCATGTAACCGTCCTTTGCTCGGCCACTACTTCACACTACTCGTCTGCACTTAGCAATTTACCATGATTCCTCTCTTCCTTCTCCCTCCTCGCCCTCCTCGCCCTCGCGTTCCATCCCCACGTCTTAGGCACTACGAGGCTGCATGCACATGCCCCTAGTGCGCGCAGGTTGGCGGGAGCAACGGGTGGCCCCGGCCCGCGCACTTGCGCTTCTCTTCCTACCAACTCCCTCTCCTCCCTTGGGCCTTTCTTTTGCGTTGGAAAGAACGTTCGTGTTTGCGTTCTTTCCAACCCACTTCTCCATTTCTACCTCCTTAGCGTTCTGCCGGCGTACACGTCGTCCAATGCGTCATCCCGTCCAATGCGCCATTCCGTCAGCTCGTACGACACCTTCTGTGTCGTCCTGCGCCGCCTTTGCAATTGTTTTTTTAGTTCCTGCGTTTTCTTCCCTTTTCATAGAGGTTCTTTAGGGCTTCTTATTTCCAGCGTCCCCGGTCAGGCACCTTAATACTCCCGTTCAGCAGCATTTGCATGCGTTCTTGTCTTTTTCGTTCGCTGCTCACAACTCTCCCACCTCTCTGCCTCGCATGTGCCTTTTGCCACTACTTCTGCGGCCTGGCCAGGTGAGTCCAAAGGGTGGTTCGAGCTTCTTTGGTATATCGCGTTGGCGTCGGTCGGCTAGCCGGAATAGAATAGTTGGGTCGGTCGGGTCGGTCGCGCGTTTTAGTTTTTGGGGGGTTGGGAGGAGCACTTGCATACCGACAGCCTTTCAGTATCAGCAAATCAGCTATTTGTCCAGGCCAGCAACTTTATGCCAGCTTTACGACAGCACTACTTTACTACGTTTCCGCCGCCTTCACTACTACTTTTCTACACCTACTTCTTTACGGCTTGGCAATACTATTTCTTCTTTTTTAGTTCTGGCGGCTTAGGTAGGTAGTCTTTCCGACATCTTCTTCACTTCTTCATCTCGAGGTCACGGTCGCCACGGACGCCTTTCGGTCAGTTCTACGTTTGATACTCTCTTGCCCTGGCAGCAGCTTCAATCGTGTGTGGTTCGTCTTTCCCTCCTCGCCCTCCTCTCCCTCCTCGCCCTCCTCTCCCTCCTCGCCCTCCTCGCCCTCCTCATCTTTATGATAAGCTACAGCAATCAGCTTTTTTAGATATTCGCCTTTCGCGCTTTGTTCATGCATCCTCCTCTGTTAATGAGGCGGCAAAACGAAATATTTTCATCATCCAATTCCGTAGATTACAGCGCATTATCACGGACGTTCAGAATTTTGCGCATTCCGTGGCTAACCTCATGGCACAACTCATCGCTCAAGGCTACCCGCGACGGCGCCTTGAGATACAATGTGCTCAACAACTCTTCTACTGGCCACAACTCTTCTTAGTACAACGTCGCAATGGCTTCGATATCCTTTCTCACATCCTTAACCTGCTCCCTACCCTGCTTCCTAATTCTCCTTCCTCTCTTCACTAACTCATGTTCCTGCAACTCTCTACCCTGCCCCTAATAACCTCCACTCCTTTGTAGTTCTTCTTTCCCTGCCCCTAATACGTTTACTCTTGCCCCTCCTTTTAGGCACCACGGAGCTGCATGCAAATGCTCCTGGTGCGCACGGTTTGGCGGGAGCCATATGTGGCCCCGACCCACGCACTGTTTTTATCCGCCCCCGCGTTTTTGCACACCTTTTTTGCACAGCTTTGTATTTTTATGTTTTTAAATTTTTTTCCCCAAATTGCTCTCACCCCGTTACGCCTTTACTACCTGTTATGCAATCGTTCATTGCGTCATCATCCCTTCATCCGGTACGACACTTCGCATGCTTTTCCTTTCTTAAGCGTTTCCATTTCCTTTATTTTCCCTTCTCAGTCAAAATTTCAAATCAGCCAGCCAGTTACTACTTTTCCTCAGCAGCATTCGCATGTCTCCTTGTCCTTTATCGCACCCGGCTCACCTCTTTGCTACCCTTTTGCTTTGCATGTGCCTTTTGCCACTACTTCTGCGGCCTGGCCAGGTGAGTCCAAAGGGTGGTTCGAGCTTCTTTGGTATATCGCGTTGGCGTCGGTCGGCTAGCCGGAATAGAATAGTTGGGTCGGTCGGGTCGGTCGCGCGTTTTAGTTTTTGGGGGGTTTGGGAGGCGCACTTGCATACCGACAGCCTTTCAGTATCAGCAAATCAGCCATTTCTCCAGGCCAGCAACTTTATGCCACCTTTACGACAGCACTATTTTACTACGTTTCCGCCGCCTTCACTACTACTTTTCTACATCTACTTCTTTACGGATTGGCTATACTATTCCGCTTTTTTAGTTCTGGCGGCTTAGGTAGGTAGTATTTCCGACATCATCTTCACTTCGTCATCCCGAGGTCACGGTCGCCACGGACGCCTTTCGGTCAGTTCTACGTTTGTTACTCTCTTGCCCTGGCAGCAGCTTCAATCGTGTGTGGTTCGTCTTTCCCTCCTCTCCCTCCTCTCCCTCCTCTCCCTCCTCTCCCTCCTCTCCCCCCTCTCCCCCCTCTCCCTCCTCTCCCTCCTCTCCCTCCTCTCCCTCCTCTCCCTCCTCTCCCTCCTCTCCCTCTTGACGCTGTACAACGTTCATGTAATACAACTTTCATTATTACTTGTCCTACATAATAATTACTTCTTATTACTTGACGCTTCACTTTGCCATTGTCCGGGTATCACCTCCCATATGCCTGGTAGTTTTGCGTCATAGGTACTTTTGTAACCGCCTTATGCTCGGCCACCTCTTCAAACTGCACATCTTCCGGACTTCTGCGCTTTGCATTTCACCATCTTTTCACTAATATGTAATAATACCGTACCAGGGCCAGGATCACAGCGCGTCGTTTTACGACGTCCTTGCCGGATTGCGTAATTGTGCCTCAGTCCGAGTAATTGTGTCTCAGTCCGAGCATGCTCGACCACTTCACCAATATCTAAGTTCTTGCCCACCTTTTAGGTGGGCAAGCCAACGTTAACAAGGGCGGAAGGCTATCAGCTTGGAAACGGTTCTCAGCAATTAATCCCATAAAGATTAAGAAATGCAACTTGCTAGACAAGCACCTAGCGCTCTGTGTGCACATGTTCACGCAACAGCTGTTAACGCTCGATACCTTCCCGTTTAGGAAGGCCGTTGAGGTTTGTGCGGCCAAGCCCCGGTATCCGTCTTGTGCAACGGAATGGCCACAAACAGATTTCGTTGCAGGGGTACTCAGGGCGGAGGGTGTGTGGTTTTACCAGCCATGGACCGGCTTGACACTCGGCTCAGGAAGGGGTTTGCACCCAGATGCAGTACTGTGCACTGTGTTGGTTATGAAAGCCAGCCTAGCCCTCCCCCAGCCGCCTGGGTCAGGAGCGATAAGCGACACCCTCCCGCAAAAACCTCGGCTCCAACAGTGAAAAGAAAAACACTGGCACGAACATCCGTCCAGGACTTGCAGAGCAAAAAACGTTGGGTTTCCGATCGTTGGCCTACTATTAGCAGTTGAGCAAACAGTTCACTTGTAATCCGTTATTATTTGGTTGTCGTGCCGTAACGGTTATGAAGTCCGTAGTTTCAGCGTGAAGTTTGTTGCCTGAATTGTTTTGCGCCTTATTACTGTGCCGCGTTGTCTTTCAGTTTTCCATGCCTACAACTTGCAATGGCTCCTCACCTGTTCCCCTGACAGCGTCTTCGATGCTGAGGCTCTGCATCGCTCCTGCTACTCAATGGCAGTTGAGGAGCTGGGGATTGCGCACCCCTTGTCTTCGCTTACCCGCGCTAACTTGATTGAGGCGCTTATGGTACAGAAAGCTTGGGAGCCGGCCGGGTCTCTAAATGTCAAAGTTGCTGATCAAGAACAGCAGGGCCAGGAGTGTGACAGCAAGGAGGAAAAGGTCGACATGAGCGAGGCCAGGCAATTGCTGCAGGTGGGTACCCTGTGGGCCGCGCCTTCCATGTGCCGATGCTGTGCCTCCACTGGAGTGCCGCCTTACCTCACCTCGTGGTGCTACTACTGGAGGATCGGCGATCTTTACCGATCGGCGATCTTTACCGCGTGCTAGCGCTTCCAATGCCTACCTGACCTCTTTCTGACGTGTTACGCAGGAAGGGCACAGGCCTTCTATGCGAACTATTAGGCTAGCCAGTGAAACTGCTGACCGCGTCAAGGCATCATGCACCTGACGCACTCCTTGTGTCATTCCTTCTCAGGCTGCTCTGTCGCAGCTGAAGGCAGAAGCCGAGATCTTGAAGGTGGCGGCTGCAAACGTGAGTCTAAAATTTGGTGGAGCGGAAATCTTTGCGCAGGGACATGAACTGTGGGGTTACAGAGGGCCTTCACAACATGGCGTTTTGGTGTGCTGCGTGTTGCGGGTTACTTTGGCGGCAGCCGCTGCGATTGGCTTCAGGGCCCCATGGCGTCTGTCTTCACCGAGAACATATAGAACCGGCACCAACGCGCATTTGCAGTAACCTTACTTTTCCTGTACCAAATCGGTGATACAGCTTTCTGTATGGGTTGCGCGCGACCATGCGGCGATCGTAAGGCTTCTGCAGCAAAACATCCATTTCTTACTATTTCCAATGGGGACCGTATTGACGTGCGATCGTGGTACTTGCCACTGGAGTGAAGGCGCTCTGACAGAAGGTCATAATATTTGAGTGTCAAGTATCCCATTGCGTAGCTTTTGTGCCCTGTCATCATTTGTCAATGCCTACAACGGTTATGCAACCTTTGTCGCGCACCATGTCTCAATTTTTGCCTTTGCCTTTCCCCTGACGGGCGCATGCAGCCCAGTGCACTGGTTGGAAAGGGTATCGAAGGTCTCACCCAGAGCGATGGCTTCAGCAGCGACCAGTGTGAACTGACGGCCACTGCATTGTATTGCCGCACATGCATTGCTACTGTCCGCACCTATATCGAGCTGGGACGGTTGGAGATGGAGGCAGGAGAGGACCTGGCGGCTGCGGAGGATGCATATCGCGCGGCGGTAGAACTGTGTGATGAGGTATATGGAGCGGACAGCAGGGAGAGCCAGGGGACGGCCTCTAGTCTAGCGAACTGCCTACGAGCTGCTGGGAAAAAAGGTAGGTAGTGAAAGGCAGCTGGAGTTGTCTGGTATTTGTACGGGCCCGGCTGGATATGAGCACGCGTCAAAAGTATAAATCCCTAGGTCTCTCTCCACTCATCCACCTCCTGCCAACTGCACAATGTTTACAGAGGAGGCCAGGGTACTGTATGAGAGGCTGTACGACCTAACATTCAAGCGCAACGGCTGCGGCGAGGCGACAGCTGTGCACTTGGCCCAGTCGCTTGCAGACCTGGCAGAGGAGGTGGGTTTGGCGTCCTTACGCACCTGCGGAAGATCTTCCTGGCCTGGGAGCAGGCTAGGGGTCTCTGCTTAGTCTTTGGTAGCCCGTTGCTGGCATTTCATTCTGTTGCCTGGCCTCAGTTTGCAAGTCTTTCATTTTTCGACTTTTAATCCCTCGGTTCCATTGTCGGTGCAATCCCCGCCACGGAGTGTCTTGAGTGGAGCAAAGCCTACTAAGATAGGCGTCCAACTGCGTCTCTGCATAGCTCGGCAAAATGTACGATACCAGACCAACAGCGAATAGCGTGGCGGCCTTATGGTACTTTCTACGAAGAGGCATGTCTCCGAAGATGTCAAGAACTGTTTCACGATACTTGATTTGTTAAGGTCCGCCGTTGTCCTATGTAAGGTTTTCAGCAGGCTCTTTGCGTTGGCTCTGCAGCCTTGAGGTACCGTACGATTGCAACTAGTTAGCAATGGCGACCGCCGCGTTACCAAAGTCGTTGCATAGTGAAAGTCGCTGTTATAGATTTTTCGAAGCTGCTATGACTTTCTTGCCTAGTGCTTGCACTTGGTGACAACTGTATGGTTACCCGTACACGAAGTCGCGAAACCTGCATGGCCGGCTGTTTTGTTGGCCCGATTATGCGAAGTTAGTACTCCACACGGCATGCTTGTTGGCGCAATTGCATCCCAAAGGGAGGATGTTTACAGTGTGCTTCCTCCTGTCCTTCAACGATGTCTTGTATTTCTATCTTTACAACATTTATTATATTAATATGGTCTCTTTTTGGTTCGGTTCATTATCAGGTCGCCCGCCAATTTGTAAGGTAGCATTACGCATGCTAAGATTTTCCTACATCTGCAGGAAAGTGGCAAGTGGAGCAAGTTATCCCCCTGAAATTATGTAGTGTCCGATAGTATTGTACCAAAGTCAAGGCACCGACTTTTGCCTTGGGCCAAGTTCGCCAAGGAACCGAGCTTAACAAGGCGAATATACCTCTTGCCAGTATGGGTATTGTGATCGTGATGTGATTGTGTTACCATAAAACTGTAGGTTTCCACGCCTAGTTCCAGGGCACACGTATGGGTCTGCACCCATCCATTTGGGAGCGACCCCATGTCAGAACACCCTACATGGATTGTGACAATGGTACGAACTAATACCGAGCCGCCTCCGATAGCAAAGCCCTCTTCAGCCTGCAGGCAGGTCCTTTTCGCTATCTGTCCCTGCAGTCCCTCTTGTGTTGCAGTCCCTCTTCGTTTAGCCACGGTCAGGGGTTCTCTATACTGCCCTCCAGCTTTTACTGATGAGCCCGACATTTTACGGCATCACAATTTTACCTGCTTCCCGCTCGCTTTGCCTGTTAGTCCTTGCCTGCTTCTCCCTATGACTTGATTAATATGTGTCCAGCCTATGGTTGGCATCCTGCATTAGGCTTTTTTGCTCAATTACTTGTAACCCTTTCTCGTGCTGTAGCCTATTGCTCCAGCGTTAGCGCTTTCTTTCCAGGCCACTAACCGCCCATAGACTCTTATCTTCAGACATGGGGATTGCTATCGGCGTGTTCCGAACTTTAAGCTGTCTGATTTTGTGGCTTTACGCCTAGATGACTCTGCGACGGCAACCTTGCAGACGGTTTTGCTTTGATGAGGCATCTTCCCCAAAGCAGTTCAGCAGTAACACAACACCTAATGTAACTGGCCACCTCTTAGAAGTCGCACCTCAGAAGCCTTTGATTAGCAGCCATATCATATGGGGATGGGCCCGACAATGCAAGCCTCAACAGCAAACTGGCTATTACCATGTCCGAACCGCGGTCGGCCGACCAGTTTTCCCAAAATGTCTTAACGTAACGTAGCATGTAAACCCAGTGTATCCCCTTTGAGAGTCACAGTATATATCTGAAGGGTTTTTGGCGGCCCTGCCTGGTGCAAATACGATGGATACCGCGCAAGCCTCGATGGCGCTTGCCCTAGCGGCCGTTATGGACGAAATTATATATACCTTGAGGATATGTTCAATTCTCAATGGCAGTGCTTGAGCGTGCGGGCCGACGCGGCGCGGCCCAAGCCGCCGGAAGTGCGGCCGACTTGCTGTTTCGACGGAGGCTTCAGCTCTACTACAATGGTTTACATGTTTGCTATGCTAGCGGTCGTGCTCGGGCGAGCAACACGAGCGGCGTTGTCCTTGTTCATCTTTAAAATAAACGGGAGCGGTGCGGCAAAAATTGCGTTCAGAGTTCAAAGCGCGCACTAATTGTCAAATATGTGATCATCAAAAGCGATTGGGCTTGGCCGTTTGTTACAACTCGCAAAATTGGCGACGCAATTCAGGTAACCTCTGAACGTAAAGTTGCAAGTAACTCGGTATTTTACAACGTAGATAATGTTCAGCAGGCCTTTAGAGCTGGTCTATCTTACAAATGCACTCCAATAAGCATAAAAGGGTGGCGCCATATATAGGTTTCGGGGCATGGTACTGCTGATAGGAAACTGGTCGACTGACAGTCGAACGCCTGTCCATCGCCTATCCACCGCTAGTCCATCGCCAGTGACATATGCCCAACTGGCGGCGCCGCTGATTGGAAACAGCTTGATAATTGCAATTCTTGGACGCCATGGACGCGAAATCTTTGTAAATGCAAAGCGATTCTACTGTTACATTCACGTTTTGTAACGATACTTTATTCCAACGGTGGTCATAAGTCTACATATCTTATGCAATAGGACGTGTAGGGCCCTTGTGGTGGAACTTGGGCGTATATTAGGGAAGGCTGACCTGTTCCCGTTTCATCTATTCAATTTCCGGCTCAACCAGTTGGTCACGGAGCTTACTTAGTGCTACTTAATCTTCGTGTTTTTGGCAAGATGGCCGGGCCTAGGCGTGAGGATTACAGCTATGCATATGCTGATGGCGAGGACATAGAAGGAGATGGGCAGCAGGACGATGGTAGGCAGTGTGTGGTCATATTGCCCGAATCCTTGCGACGTACGTGTTCAAGCTCGCTGTGGATAAATTTAAGATTCGTTACTACAAAGCTTCATGTTTGGCATAGTGATACTATGAAGTTTCATGTTTGGCCTGTGCGAGCAAGTTATGCTTCTAGCCGCCCTTGAACCTGCACGACAGGGACGCATACCGCTTTTAGATATGGTGCGGCATTGTGTTCCCAAGCTGTGTTGATGTCCTCGTAGCTCCTGTCGACTGCGTGAGCCAATTCACTGCTCTTTCGCTGCTATCGCGCATGAATGTTATATACCTCGGAAAGGTGCACAACAGGCGGAAGGAGCAGAGTTGGACGCCGGGGTTGCAGATGACGTTCAGCCGTGGACGGGACTTACACTTCTGCCGGTATGCGCATACTTTAGGAGCCGCCTGTGGACGCATCTTACCCACGCGTCTGCACGGGATGGCGTATGCTGGGATTGCATGTTTCGCATGTTCGCGTGTACTGTCTTTCCAATTTACAGCATGAGATCACTTCGTTGCTGGGGGTTGCATCTCCTGCTTGATGTGTATACATTAGAAGCCAAAGCACGCATCTTCCGTGCTTAGGGTTTTATTATATCATCGCATGTTCCCTCTCTTGCTCTTCTCCTCCAGGAGAAGTCAGACGTTACAGAGCTACTGAAGGACGTGCACAAGGCTGGGCACAAACAGCTTACAGTTTTATTGCTAGGTGAGCAGTTGTGGGGGGCATGCTCTTAAGCTTTCCTCACGATTTGCAACACAGGTAAAGATGAAAGTGAAAGTCGGATGCGTGGTACTAGGATGGTAAACCGTCGGCTTTTCATAGGTATAAAACAGGTTTTTGGTTGATTCATCCTCCTACCAAGTCTTTGGCGTCATCCACACACATCGGCGTGTTTGTTGTGTTGCTGTGTGTGCATGCAGGGAAGTCAGGTGTAGGCAAGAGCAGCCTGGTGAACTCGCTCCTTGGGGAGCCTGTAGTGCGTGTGCAGGCCTTCAAGTTGCAGGTGGGATTTGGCGGGCGGCTTGCTAATGCTCGCTGAAACGAATCCATCTTTACTCTGTTTGGGTCAGAGATTGTGTTAGCTGGTGGCATGCCATAGTTGGAACATTCCAACGGGTCGCTTGAACAGCACCCGGTGCTGTAAGGGGAACACCCACCGACAAATTCACCACGTAGGTGCTATATAATTCGGAGAAGGTGGGATCGTAGAAGGGGCTTGACCGACCTAAAAGCACTTGAATCTCGGAATTGGACTGGGGGGACTCGAGATTTTGGTAATGTAGTGTACTCTGTGGTTTCCGGTGGCGGGAGGTGCAAAGGCCAATAGAAACCCAAAACCTCTTTCCTGGAGAGCTATTAAATTTTTTGTCATTACCATCAATAGGATACCAGATTACATCTTAAAGCTGGCTCTTTCGCAGAAGACGTTGCCCTGAAGTTGAAGGCAGTCAACCCAGCGCCAAGCAAGATGCCTCAGACCAAACCTCTTGCTTAACTCGAGGGGGTTGCCTGTTTGCATAGGATCAGTAGGCTTCCGTATGCGACCAGACATATGAAAGAGAAGCTGAGGAGTGCTGGTATACCTTCTGCCAAAAGATCATCGGCAGTTGCGTGCAGCCTATCAGCAAGGTACACATGCAGGTATGCCCTATTCTACGCGTTCGGAAGAGGCGAAGCTCTTTCGACACCTATCATAAGAAAACCCGGGGGAGAGGGTGTGCAAGTAGCTAAAGAGGCGCAGACGGCCATTATTGTGAACTGGTATCCTTAAGGAAGACTTTTGTTACAGACGAATTAGGGTATACACGTTAATCGCGTTGTTTACTCAGGATAACACGCGCCGTTGATTTCATATTGTGATTCCTACAGCCTAACAGCGATGTCCTGCCAAATCCTGTTCCTTTACTGAACAACCAAGTATGTCCCAAACGTCACGAACAAGTGTGTGTGCTTGGAGCTGAAAGATTCGCGGTTGGTACCTGACTATGGAGGCCCCTAGCCAACGTCTTGCAAGGTGGTTCAAATGTTGTCTAGCTCTCGGCCGTAGCAACTCCATCTCACCTAAATGTGAGGCATGTTCTAGTGATATCACTGAACGGGGCACGGAGATGACAGCGCGTTACCATGTTGATGTTACAAACTTTTAAAATGGTTCAAGAGTCGACACCGATTCTCGTGATATTGCAGGGGCCGAGTTCCCTCGCCCCCCCCCTAGCAAACGGTCAAGATCGTCCTTTGTTATATGATGTGTGAAACAGGGGGGTATATCACCACCCGTGGCAGCTATCCTGCGAAACCCTGCCTTCCCTGGTATTTCGGGGCACCCTCATCCAGTCACCCTAGTCAGTGGATCGCTCAGGTTCCGCACCCACCACTAGCATCCAACGGAATCTGCCGGGTCGACAGCGGCACAACTCCATTCCTGGTCGGGTCGCAGGTTAACTTTATCCCAGGTCACCACCGTCCATCAACTAGGGGCGCAATATCTCCCACCATCGGGAGGATTTTCGACCCTGGCAGGTCTCGATCCTTATATCACCGCCTCCCTGAAGTGCCGTCAGGTTTGGGCCACGGTGTAGGCTCGAGACGAGGAAATGGGGTGTATGGGCATGGTGTACGGCAGCGAACATGTGCTGATAGAAATCACATGTTGCATTGCCCCCTTAAGAGGCACTTCTTTCCGCAGCAAACATACACTCTCCAAAGGATACCCTTTTCCTCCATTACGAATTCTTTGCACATGGACAAAAACGTCAGCAGCTGCAAGGGTGTGGTTTGCAAGCTGGGGTTTGAAATTGTCGTCTGTAGCGTAGTTGGTCCCCCGAGGTGTGACTTCCTATTTGTAGTGGGCCAGGTTTGCTACGTTACCGCAGGTTTACGCCAATCTGCCAGGCACACGAATTTATTGTCTCTAGCGCTTCATACGGGTGGCACAAGTTATCCGCCGGAAATGCTCAGCCGTACCTTGCCAGACACTTCTTATGGACATCTATAAAGCATGTGAGCACTGGCACAAGACCTTGTGACTTTACTAGAAAGACTCTGTTCTGCATACATCATCTGGACACTGTCTGATGCACGTGAATGTGCAGAAGCGCTTGGTGGAATATACGTGCGGAAATGGTACTTTCCCAGCAGCATAGTGCGCAAATTGTATGGGTTAATGCTACGGAACTCTATACAGCGGGAGGACCAGTGACGGACTCTGCGCGGTAAGTAGTGCGGTTAGTGTTGGCTTTATCGGCGAATCGTCACTCCACATCCATTCATGCCGGTTGAGCTTGAACATGCGGGATGTCCAAAGGGCTGAGGTCGCTGTCTCTGCCCCAAATCGATCTGCATGCCAATTGTCCCCGGGCGTCCCTTCTCGTGGATGGATGCATCGAATCCAGTATAGTGGAAAGACACGCGTGGCACAAAAGTTCATTGTGAGGGAAATGAAGCAGCGGTTTTTTTGTCAAGGTCATGTGTCGGCTTTCACCATGAAAGGTTATTGCTGACATAAAGCTTTACTTGATGTCAGCAGTCGTTCAGGGAGCCTTCCATGCTGCTGTGGACAAACAGCAGCTATGATAAGACTGGTTTCCAACAGTCCCGGCCACAGACAGGTTGTAAACACGACTGATGCCTCGTCCCAAAAGTTAGGATAGGAAGCGATGCCAACAACCGGCTGGGTGTGTGCTGCAGAGGCATGAGGAACCAGGAGTTCAAATGGGTTTCATATTACTTGGAAGCTAACCTTTGGGCAGGAGTAATAGCGCAGATATTTCGCTAACGCGTATCGTCGTGAAGTTTTACTAGTATAGCCGTACTGGATTTATCCAAAAGATTCCTGCTGGCCAGATGGAACTTTAGGAAATTTGCTCACGGAGCAAACCAATGTGCATCATCAGCATGCATGGCCTATTTAGTAGCAACTTAGTTGCTTCCCATTTTAGGGGATATTAATGGGCGTAGTACCTCACGCAAATCCAAGACAACTCGGATTGTTCTGAATATTAGCTGAAGATACCATGGGAACCGGCACCGTATGATGTGTGAAACAGGGGGGTATATCTCCACCCGTGCCAGCTACCCTGCAAAACCCTGCCTTCCTTGGTAATTTGGGGCACCCTCATCCAGTCACCCTATTCAACTTCTCAGTGGATCGCTCAGGTTCCGCACCCACCACTAGCATCCAACGGAATCTGCCGGGTCGACAGCGGCATAACTCCATTCCTGGTCGGCTCGCAGGTTAACTTTATCCCAGGTCACCACCGTCCATCAACTAGGGGCGCAATATCTCCCACCATCGGGAGGATTTTCGACCCTGGCAGGTCTCGATCCCGGGATGTCACGGGGGCAATGGTCGCGCGTTACCAGTAGTGCCAAACCCTAGCACCGTATGTTAACTAAACTTAATCTTCACTTTGGAACAGAACGCCGACTTACAAGCTAGGAGAAGTGTACCGACTATTATGACGATGCCAATAGTCATTGGCGAGTCAAAAACCATTTATTGTTTCCACTCGTCCTGCATCTGCAGGCCGATGCAGAGGCTACAATGACCATTGTACGGCACATAAGTGTCGGAGATCCAGAGGTGGGTAGCCCAGGGTTCGGCAATCCAGTTCGACAGTAGCACGTAATGTGGCGACCAACCCTAAGTTTCCCGTGCAACTGTCACTGTTTGGCATGCAAAGCGAATAGACACAAGCAAACCATAGCTTCGTTGGCCATGGTGTATGCTCAAAGGACGAGATGGAGCTACCCCAGGCGTTTTTCTTGGCATCAGCAGGCATAGCATCGCACGTTTCGTTTGGAAACTAATTCGATGGCGGGCTTAATCCTACAATCACGTTGCAAAATATAGATCGATGGGCTACGCATCAAGCTCATCGACACGTGTGGGCTGGAGGATCCGGAGGCAGGAGATACGGTCAACTGGGGGGTGAGATGTATGGTGGAAGTACTGTTATGGGTTCGCAAATATTCGGCTAGGATTTCATAAGCCCGATCGTTTGATGTCACGTATTCTTAAGAGTTTGGATTACATTTTCCGCCGCCGCCGCCGTCTATTCCTCTGCTTGGGAGGCTGGGAACTTCCGCCTGTAAGAAGCTATGTGGGCAAACGCTTCTTAGCGGGATACTGAGGGGCGCTCGGGCCAGGATGGAAAATGAATGGAGATCGCGGATGAGGTTACTAGCCCATCTGTTGCCAACCCGTTCCTAGGCCCTGTCCAAGATTGCTGAGGACATCCGAGGGGTCTCCATTGATGTGGTATTGTATGTCGACAGGCTGGACTTGTACCGGGTGGACCCTCTGGACAAGGCGGTGAGAGTGGCGAACGTTGATGCGATGAAGGCGAAGAAAATGATGGGCTAGGGCGGAGGGGATGCGACGGAGGGAAAACAAGAGGGGATGTCGATGTGGGCTAAGGTGGATGGGCGGGTCAACAGGGGCGTGGCATTGGGCTTACGTGGAATGACTTATGAATGGAACGAGGACAGTTGTCTTGCATTGCCGCTGAGGGGAAGCGGTGGGGTGAAGAGAGAGGGCAAAGAAGCCGCATTTGTGGCGACCTGTCGACACCTTTGCGAACACGGGTGAGGAAGTACATTCTAAGGGTTTACGGCATTGCCTCTCCACCCGGCCTCTCCACGTAAACATTTCGCAGATCATCGCTGCAGTCACACACACGTTTGGTCGCCAGATTTGGTGCCGGACAATTCTGGCGCTTACACATTCAGCTCTGATGCAAGTGCCACCAGGAACATCGTATGGTACGTCGCTCTCACTAAGCCATGGAATAGAGAGAGCTCAGTTCGCATATGCAATGATACCAACACCCTACCTGTTCATTCCTAGTGCCCACATCCATATGTCCTCGCTGCCTGCTCTACACTGTCGCCAGACTCGTTTGTGGACGGCCGGATCCGGCTTCTCCGTGGCGTGATCCCTCGGGGTCCGTTGCCCTTCCTACGGTCCCCGTTGCCCGCCGTTCTCGTGGAGAATTCAGAGACCTGCCCCATTAATAAGGACAACGGGCATCGAATGCTGCCCGACGATACCGAATGGCTGGTGGGGATGGTGAGCGAGGTGGTTGACCTGGTCCTTGCACGGCGGCAAGCGTACAAGTACAACCCCAGGATGACCTCCAAGCCCAGCCAGCGCTTCCGGTGGCTGTTGCCGCTGGTCATTGCAGCAGAGGTGCGAGTGTCGCGGTGGATGGGTTGCCTAATATTGAACGTCAATGGGTGAATGAACCATACGTCTGCGCTACTCAAGTTCCATCTATTTTTTTCCGGCCGCGCGGCAGACTAAGACCAGGACTACTAATTCCGTGAAAATCGGCCTACCAAGGAAGGATTTAACTTACCAGCCCATACGGCACGCAGGCAGGGTTTCGCGGCAAACCCTTCGTTCTTATCGTTAACGTTGTGGATTTTAATAATCGCACATGTTTCTTGACGTTTTGATGCCAAAATCAAGTACGGTTAAGGATAGTCATGTTCGAAGGTGCTGGAGAGGACCTTCGATAAAGAAGATAAAAGAAGGGATTGCCTGAGAGTATTCAGGCGGTGATTTTTTTGGCGGCGATTCCTACAGTGAGTTCCCCCCATGTGAATTCTATGACTGTTTTTAGGTCGAAGCCATTTGGCCCGAGGTAGATGTTGACAATTATGTGTAGCCATTACAAAAACGTTTGCAGCTGCTTTGCAGAAATTGTCCTTTTTGGCTGAACAACCTGACACAAATTTGGTACACACAAAGCAATGGGGTCTAATACGTACACAGCACGTTCCGGCAGGGCCTGTCCGAGTTAATGTGCCCGTAACCCGTTGCGACTACGGTACGTAATTATCAGCTGCAGAAGAAAATATTAGTACCGCTTCATTATAGTTTAGGTATTAAGACGAATTCATCACCTAAGGAAGGAAAAGGCCAAAACAACCTGAAGGGGATCCCGCTGACCCCAATTTTGCTTTGGGGTCCAATTCACTTAAATCAACTACAACCAGCGCAAATCGCCTACATGTGAACATGTCATAATATAAAAAACGGCCAATGTAATCTCCAGTGGTCAGAACATGATTTGGCTGCCTTCAAAGGAGAGCAGCTTCAACCTCGAAAGGGTTTCCCCATCTATACTGAACACTTTTAAGGCCAATCACGTACCTAATGCACATTGGATGGTCATACTAGAGGGCAAGGCCACCGATACTGGTAACTGCCAAGGTCTGCGACTAAAACCTCAACTTCCTCAACTGCATGGAATATAAAGCTGCCGATCTTGCATCCTCTTAACCAAGGCCTCTTGATCCTGGCAGATATTTTTCGGCCGGCGTTTGCTACGGCCAGCTCTGCTGGCAAACCGGCATCGGGTGGAGGCTGTGGAGGACGCGGTCTGGTCCTTGAGGTGGCAGCAGCGAAATGTGCTGGGCCTGCACCCGCCACATCGGCCAAGCAAGGAGGCCGCGTGGCGCTTGGAGCAGATGTACGATGATGACTAACTGGCCACGTTTGCCAGGGAGATAGCGGCGGCGAGGGGTAGCAGAGCTCCGGGATAGAGTAAGCGGAATGGAAAATGACGTTGCACAGCCATTCCTGAATGCAGGGGGTAAGGCTGCTACAGTGAACTGGTGTATGCTGCGTGTTCAAATTGGCAGTTCTACCATAAGGAAACTACTGCTCAAGGTCGTTGTGGATTGACACAGCGACACAGTGCTCCCGCTCGGGATCCTATGGGTTGGACTCCTTGTACTTGTGGTGAACTCCGCGCGTGATTTTGTTGTGGGCACGTGGACAACAGGGCATCTGGGCTTGGACGATTTTCTAGTCCGGCAGCGCTGCCACAGCTGGAGCGAAGGTTTGCGTATCGAAGTAGTAGTTTCGGGATTTCTGTAAAGTCCCTTCAGATTCACCAAGGCCTTTGGCCAACGCTCTAAGCCGACCTTCTTACCTAGCATCCATCTAAGGGCTCTCACTGTTTTATGGATTACTCTTACATAGCGATGATGTCGAGTGAAAATCATAAATCGCGTCTTAAACTGCCAGGCCATGCGTCATTGTGGAAACTCACACCATACGCACGGGTGACACTCCTTCGGCAGCTATTCGGATCTAGTAGGCAGACTGCAGACCAAGTAAGTCTCCAATGCCTTCCACCAGGACCTTTCACCGCTCGTCAAGCAGTAAGATTTGGATGGATATATTGTGCGTACCGTACTCACTGTGGGGCCGTTACAGAATCAGTAACATAGTAAAGGGTTGAAATAGTTGAAGACGCCCACACCCATAATGACGCAGGGTTGCTACCGTATTAGTTTTGACCGTACGGCGTATTAGAGACCCCAAAATGTTTACGCCCGGCGTATGGCGTATCAATACGTCAGTTCAAAATCGAGGCGTATTACATTTCTTACGGCGTATTCACCCTGCAGTTATTCTTGCAAATAGCATACGCATTTTAATGGTGATCAAGAAAGCGTATTATTTGAATAGTTTGGCACTGCTCGGACGCGGCGCGACCAACTGTTGACTCCACCATGGACCTCTTCCGCCACGCAGAACTTATGACAAGAACAATAACTATCGATGGTAATGACATAATCGACCACGAATGTAAAGAATTGTTCCGTGTATACTCTGTCGCGTGGTACAACTTTGGCCGACCGTAACCGGCCCCCCCCCAGCAGCCAACACCGCGACAACGGACACGCATCACCGCAACATCAATGCTTCCCTAACCTTCCTCCCCATTCCCCCACCTGGTATCCTGACCAGATCCTAAAAAGAATTAAACGGAAACTCAGCCTCCCTAATCACGAAACTCCCTAATCACGAAATAGATAACCCCCTTAGACCCCCACCACAAAGGACAAGGCCTGCTCCCCGGGGGCGAGCTCGGGTCACCTTGCTTGTGATCAAGTAGAGATCATATCAGGACAATGTAGCCATATTCACAGTGGTGGCTTACACAGGTTTTCGCTTGAGAACACGGTTTCCATGATACTTTGGTGGCCTGTACGACAGGAACCGGTTATTTATTACGCACAGGCCTCACGGGGTCGGAATCCCGGAATTTGACGCCTAGCTGCCTCTCAATCCCGGGGATGCTGTCCGCGACCCTTACGAGTGAGATGGTTATCCCATATGAAGAAAACGTACAGTTCGTATTCGTTTTCTTGCCTAATTGTTGCACGTGCCGGTTCAGTTCATCAAGGGTACCTGACTGAGCCTTTCGGAGCCCGTCCGTCGCCGCTGTCTGCCATCGCTCTTTGCGGCAAGCGCCGGCTTTGGAAAATAACTCTAATACTAAAAGTCTAGTTGAAGACATGCGGCGCGAGGACTGACTGGAACGAGCATAACATGCCGCTAGAAGATATGCAATATATTGTAACGGCTGCGCATGGAATTCTTTGCATGGCCATGTTGCATGATGATAATTGTTTTGGGGGGTTCAAATCCTCAAATCCCGATGGGATTTGGCCCGGAATTCCTTGGGAATTCATGAGGTCAAATTCCGAGATTCCGATCCCGTGAGGGGCCTCCGTAAGGAGGGTAGGATCCGGGCTGGAATTAGGGAGGAGCTCTGTCGCAGAATTAGCCTGGATTTTATTCCTGACAAAAGAATTGCTCTGCCCGACAGTTTGTCCTACCCTCTACTCCGTAATAGGAACACCGCCAGGAACACCCCAGCATTATGCCGGCTTTAAAACATCAAACTTCTCGGCGTATTCGGTGTAATAATACGCGCGTATTCCAGGCGTATTAATACGCAATACAGTAGCAACCCTATAATGACGCCCACGCTTGTGCGATGTGCCTGCTCACACCGGAAGGTATGTCATCTTTGTCGGGCATTCGTAAACTGTAACCAATCTGGAACTCGAAGTATCACAAGCAGGATTGAGAGGTATAGATCTCTACCGTTAATCGGCCGTAAGTCGACCCGTTGACCAAATTTTCGGCATGCGGTTCCCTCAACTCAGGATTGTATACAATACATGTGGGTGTTCTGGCAACGGCGAATCAATAGGGATTGATGCAATCTTAAATGCAAGTTAAGCGTGGCAGAGCGGCCGGGGATGTCAAAGCCATCAAGATATCTTCGCGCACAGACCCGCCCAAGACCCTCGACGCTCTTAGGAGAGCCTGCTCTGAAAACGAGCAGACTCTGGATAGTGTTGCATAGGTCGGGCGTAGAGCTGGAATTAGCAGGTCGGGACGGGGCACTTAAGCTACTGGCCGACCTGGTCTTAGGTCCGGAGCGGCGGTAAGTGCCTGGATCTTTTGATAGGAATATTTATTGGCTTCGCTGGCGGCTTGTCGTGGTCCCCAATTTGCTCTGCCTACGTACGCGTGTTCGTCCGCCTCCTTGCATCTAGGCTGCAGCTGTGTGCCTTATCCTTAGGTTTAAGTTTCAAATCAAGGCATGTTTTGGTGCGGCAATGTTGATAATTGGGCATTCACAAGTGATTGGTGAAGACATGTATGTTTGCGTGTGTAGGCAGGCGCAGGTGAATGTAAACATAGGTTACCCTGTCTGTTACCCATAAGTACTATATTACCCCGACTCCTTTGTTACCCATCGGTAAGGGGTTACCCCTACCCCGGGGTTAGGTTACCCACCTCCGTACATAGTCACATGGGTAACCCCTACCCCTACACCCTGGGTTGCGCTTAAGGGGGGGTTACCCCCCGTTTTATGCCATAGGGCCGACCATCCGGAAGCAGCACACGCCGCGCCTTCGAATACGGTTCGTAGCCTATGAACACCTTCTTGCTAACCGGCTCCAGCTTCCTTTACTCTGGGTCTGGCATGTGCACATACGCCACGCAGCCAAACAGTCGAAAGTCTTCTACATCCGGAACCTTGGGTAGCCTGTCCTGAGGGGCGGCCTGTCAGTACTCTAGCACCTTGACAGCCGCCACTCAACAGCCTGACGTGGGGCCTTTCACAGGCCACGGGGCGACACGGCACACACCCTTCATACCAGCATGCCCCCTCGAGTTGCACCAGGGGCCTGACTGCAAACTGCCAGCACTGACGAGCTCGCTCGGCCGCCAAGTCCGCGGTCCAGGCCGGCTGCTCAATGCTCAGCAGACACAATCGCAGCTTGCCAGCCTTCAGCCTGTTGGCTTTGCGGTCTGGTGCCCCAGTCCAAACACACACGGAAAACAGCACTGCACAGCACCGTATGCACTGCCTACGGTGCCCCTTTGGGCACTGAGCTGCCCATTCGGGCGCCTGCCCACGCGCCCTTGGAGCCCTCCTAGCTCGACACACTTCCTCTAAGCCCTAAGATTTTTTCCACTCCCCCCTCGCACGGTGCTCTGGCGATCTAAGTGACGCCCAGCACCGTGCAGCAGCGTACGAACTTGATTTCGCCCAGTGCCTTGGTGAGAATGTCAGCCACCATGTTGTTGTTGGTGCAATAGCTGAGCTTAACCTCACCGTGCACGGCCATTTCGCGCATGATGTGGTGGTGCACGTCAATGTGCTTGGAGTGCACCGACATGATGGGGTTGCTGCCGAGGCTGAGCGTGCCTTGTGAATCCAGCTGGATGTTGACGGCGCCAGGTGACAGGTCCAGGTCGCCCGCCAGCTTATGCAGCCACATAGTACCTCATGCACGGCTGCTGCGGCGGCCTGGTACTCGGCCTCCACGGACGAGGCAGCCACGGTGCGCTGCAACTGGCTGCTCCAGCTGACCGCTGCACTGCCGAGCAAGAATGTGTAGCCTGTGGTGGACTGGCGGGTGGCTGGGTCGCCAGCCCAGTCCGTGTCGCTGTACCCGCCGGAGTTGCTGGTGTTGCCGCTGCTGTCACCACAGTACCGCAGCCCAAGTGCGTGGGTGCCAGATAGGTAGCACAGCACGCCCAGCATGAACCCCATGTGGGCCTTGGTGGGGGCGGGCATGTGTCACGCGAGCATGCTCAGAGTGTGTGTGATGTCCAGGCGTGTGCTGGTGGCAAGGTAGTTCAGCTCGCCCATCAGCACACGGTAGCCGCTGGCATCAATCACTGTCGGCTGGGCGTCACTGGCTGGCAGAGCACGTGTGCCCTGAGGCAGCGGGGTGGCGCGCGGCTTGGCGTTCTCCAGGCTGTGGCACTGCAGCAGCTGCTTCACATAGCGCTGCTGCGTGAGCACGATGCAGCGGTTGGGGCCATCCTGGACGATCTTCATGCCGAGGTAGTAGTGTGCCTCGCCAGGGTCACGCACTGAGAAGCAATTGGCGATGGCTGCCTTGGCGGCCACGACCACATGCAGGTTGTCCGCCATCACCAGCATGTCGTTGGCAGTGTGAGCCGCACTGTTGCCTCCACTGCCTCCACTGCCATCGAGCACTTAGTGCTGTCAGCAGCAGCTGCTGTCGGGGGGGGCCATCACTGACCGGGGCCAGCGGTGTGTGCAGGGACTGCCGTTGACTGCGGGTGTTGGGGCAGAGGTGGTGTTGGGGTCGCCAGGGGTGGGGTGGCCACTGGGGTCGGCAGCATGGCGGGCGGTGTAGAGCCACCGTTGGGGTCACTGCCGCCAGGGTGGGCGGGGCTAGTGCCGAAGGGGGTGCCCACCCGTTGTGAACCAAGCCGTGGCGGTCGTCATTGAAGGTGACATCGCTGCTCACAGTCACCTTGCCCTCGACGAGGATGCGGTGGGTGGCCGTGCCGTGCTCCGGTCAGCGGTAGGTTCCCGCCTTTGTGCGAGGACCGAGTTTGTCCTGCTGGCTGGCTGGGATGCGGATGTAGGCCAGGCAGCCGAAGGTGTGGAGGTGGCTGACGTCGGGGGGGACGCCGTGATAAGCTGCCCATGGCGTGGCCTCCTGGCCCTGAGAGGGGGCCACATTGTGCAGGAGGTTGGTGTAGAGCACAGCCGCCAGCAAGTAGCTGTCCGAGAGCACGGCATTGTACAGCATAGCCCACACACGGTCGAGGAGTGTGTGGTTGAGTCGCTCCACTGCTCCGTTCTGCTCTGGTGTACGGTGCCGAGTGGGTGTGTGCAGTGCCATGCTGGTGCAGCCATTGCTCCAGTTGCTCGATGACGTACTCACCATCGTTGTCGCTGTGCAGCGTGTGCACCCGTGCATGGTTTGGGTGGGCCTCCAGCTGCGTCACCATGCCCTGCAGCACTTCGCCCACTTGGCTCTTGTTGGCCAGCATGCGGATGGCGGACAGACCGGTGGCACTGTCCAGCAGCATCAGCGAGTAGTGTGTGCCCCCTCGGCCCGTGGTGTAGGACCAGGCAAAGAGTACTCAGTTGGGAGATGCCCATGGAGGTGATCCCTCTTACATTCCCTCCCCCCTCGAGCGAACATCCTCGGGCGCCCCCAGGCATATCCCGTAGGATTTAGGTTGTTTGAGATCCCGTAGGATTGTGTATTTGTTTGTTATTGTGACATTTCGTCAGTCCCCGTCCGAGATGGAGGACTTTGATTTTACTCAGCTGGTAGACTTCTCGCCCGCCCGGGCATCCACCTTTGGGGTAAGAGTATGCTGCATCATGCCTGGTGTGCGATCTGTTCCCAACCGGATTCGATTCGGGGAGTTCCCACCTCCTAGCAATTCGCACCAATGTAAGACCAGGCAAGAGTACTCAGTTGGGAGATGCCAGGGGAGCTGATCCCTCTTACATGTGGTCGGCATGGGCACACACAGGTCAGAGTGTACGACCTCCAGTGTGTGCTGTGGCCGGTTGCGGCAGCTGGGGTGGATGGTTGCGGTGGCCTTCACGGTGTCACAGGCCCTGCAGACAGCCTCCACTGCCTGGCACAGTGCTGCTGGAGTGACCTGTGGTCCCTGCACCAGCTGCTTGCTGATCAGCTGCTCCAGCACGCGGTAATCAGGGTGACTGTACTGGTGGTGCAGGCGCTGTGCTGCCGTGAGTTCGACAACTGAGCATTCGGTGGCCCTGGGGCCGCCGTTGCCTGGTTGCCCTTTGCCGTTGCTGTTACCGTCCGGCTGGCCTCCATCGGTGTGGCCGCCGGCGGTGCTGCCGCCGCGGGTGCTGGGGACAGCGGTGGCACTTCCTCCAGCGCTGCTACTTGCAGCCTGGCCCCCCGGCTCTGTCGCCCATGGTGCCGAGGGCATTGACGGTGACGTCGGTCGGCGCCTGCAGGTCCACGTCCATGCATAGTGCCCACACTCACTCCATGTGGTGATAGACGGTCTGTTGTGCAGGAGGCCGATGTGTGAGAACCAGCAGCCCGTCTTGTCTGTGCTGAATGTGATTGAGCAGCCACATGTCATGAGAAGGTCGACAGATGTCAGGGTGAGGCCCGAGCTGGGGACGTGCAGCACATTGTGCAGCCAGACATTGTGTCTATTGCGTGTATGCAGGTGCAGCTTCCCTGTTCCCATGACATCGGCCGGCTGGTTGTTGCCCCACTCGATCAGCCATGGCGTGCCGGCGGGGACATGGTTGTGCAGCAGGGAGCGGTCACCCGTGAACCTGAGTCGAGGATGACTCGTGAGCTGCTGTCACTGCCGTTGATGACCAGCACTGTGGCACGGCTCTGGCATGAGCTGCTTCTGCTGCTGCCTGAGCCGCTGCCATTGTTGCCGCCTGCAATGTCACCACTGTTGCGGCAGCTGTTGCCGCATCGAGCACGGCTGGGTTCGCATGCTCGGTTCGCATGCTCCGTCGCCCCAGCTGTTACCGCCATTGCCGCTGCCAGTGCCCCTGCCGCTTCCATCACAGTGGTGGTTGCGGCTGCCTCGACTGTAATGTAATGTGATGTAATGTTACAGAGTGGGAGGCTTCTGGGTCGCTTTATCACATTGTCAATCCCACCACTACCACACTGTACTACACCATACGAAATGTAAATCCAAGGTGGTGGATCCAGCCTTCAGTGATCCCACCTCTGTCATTTACCCGAATATCCGAAGAGTTGGAGAATTCGGCAAATTATCTCTGACCTCAATTCCGCATCTCTGCATCTAACTATAATCGCGTGCTTCCGACAAATTCAGGAGTCTCCCCAGGAATCGATCCCAGGACCTTATACCGCTGATTTCAGTAGTGTCAATCCAGACCAGACCTCAACTGATGTTGCCAGTTGTGTGCAGCTGCTCGAATGCGTTGCTGCAGTGACGTCCGCCTGCTTAACGGGGCACTCGCAGATGTAGTGACCAGGCTGTCCGCAGTAGCGGCAAGGTGTCGCCGGCCCCCACGTCACCTGCAGCTGCCGACTCTACTGGCGGCACAGCCAGGGCCGACAGCTCCCACCAGGCTGGTCTTGCTTGCTTGGGTCTTGAGGTTGTTCTCCTTCTCCCACAGCATAAGCATGAGCTGTGGGGTCGTTAAGTTGGGCTGATACATCGCGAACTCGATGGTGATGGCTTACTGTGGAGGCATGGCATGGAGAATGGCATGGCGCATTGTGCTCTCTTCCCACTGGCCGCTGGCCATGACTATATTGCTACGGTCTGGTCTGGTCGACATTACTGTCTTATACATTTAAAGGTCCTGGAATCAATTCCTGGGGAGACCCACGACATTGTTGGGAGCGTGAGATTATGGCTAGTTGCTGAGATATGGATTCTGTGCTCCTGCCTCCCTAAACCATATTCTCATGGCCCTGGCAACTCAAACGTGCTGGCTGACCGTGCAAAGAATGGTAGAGACGGAAAACGGGGAGACCAGCTGCCAAGGGCCCTTACACTTCAGTAGAACACAACCCCAGCCAACCACGGCCACGTGACTACGGCAGCCGACAACCCTTTTCCCCCAGGGGGCAACACGTGCACGACAGACGACGCAAAACGCGAAACCAGAGGACGCCCAACGACCACCACAACAAACTCACGCAACGGCGACCCGAACATATAGAGGGTTTGGCACCACTGGTAAGGCGCGACCATTGCCCCCGGGAGATCCCGGGATCAGTACCCGTTAGGGTCAAAGTCCTTCCGATGGTGGAAGGCATTGCGCCCTTAGTTGATGGACGGTGGTGACCTGGGATAAAGTTAACCTGCGAGCCGATCAGGAATGGAGTTGCACCGCTGTCGACCCGGCAGATTCCGTTGGATGCTGGTGGTGGGTGCGGAACCTGAGCGATCCACTGAGAAGTTGACTAGGGTGACTGGAGGAGGGTGCCCCGAAATACCGGGGAAGGCAGGGTTTCGCAGGGTAGCTGCCACGGGCGAAGATACACCCCCCTGTTTCACACATCCTGAAGCCCGAGCAAGAACACCCCTACAGTGAACACCTCCCACCAGGACTCTCAAGGCCACACTACTAGGCTGAAAGACCCAACCGCAACCAATTCCTCCTCAACTCCCGACCCGCCTGCTGTCTAGCCACCCCTCAGTGAGCGTTTTCCACCAGTCCGCCGCTAGCCGAGCCCGGTGCGGAGGTGTCTGTGACTGACCGGTGGAGAAGGGAAAAGAAAGGGGGGATGGAGGAAGAAGTAGCGACCACGAGTCCATGGGGGGAAGGTGGGCGGGAAACTGTCAGCTACAAGCTGAAGCTCGACTGAGTGAAAGGCAGAATGCCTGTAATGAAGGAGCTGAAGCAAGTAATACTCGCCATTCCAATACGGTTGTACGACAGTCGCACAGAACCAAACTTAGAGACTCCAATCACTTCACTCCATCATATCTAAGTCAACAATTCTGTGCTTCTGTCTCCCTTAACCGTATTCTCATGGCTCTGCCGACTCGAACATGCTGGCTGACCGTGCAAAGGGTTGTAGAGACAGGAAGCGGGGAGAACAGCTGCCAAGGGCCCTTGCACTGCAGAACAAAGAGGTACCCACTCACCGGCGAGGCCTAGGCGGCGGGAGACTTCAAGTTTGGCCGCAATGTCGCGCCACATGTAGTGTTGTACCATAGTGTCCGTGCGCCAACAGCCGTGTGCCTTGCACATTTCCGCTGGCACTCCACGGTCCGCTGCCATGCTGCTCCCGCCTATACGCATGGAGTGAGCCATGATGTTTCACGTGATGCCTGCCAGGGGTACCATTTTTAGCAGTCGTGTGCGGAAGGCCGCGTACGACAAGGAGTGCACTGGTGCTTCCCGTGTACCAGTCAGGGGACCTGAGAGGTACCCACTGCACTGCATCCATTGGACTGGTCAGAGGAGCGGTCCCACGCCTTCGTTACTGGCCGTCTGCAGTAGTCGCCTAGCTCCAGCAAGCGCTCACTAAGACCTATCGGGCAGCATGGGCCCCCGGAGTGACTACCCAGTGGCCCCGCATAAGCTGGTCTATCTTCGAGTGGGGAATGAAGATTTCCATGTGGGATGCAGAAATCAACAGCAAGTCCTCATGCACGTAAAGTTCAGCAGGATTGTTGAACCGGAAGAAGCCGGCAAACATGATAGCCACCGCTGCCACCATCATCAGGTAGTCTAGACGCGCCTCAGGGCCCTCCACTAGCAGGTAGAGGGCTACCAGCTCCCCTGGGGTGGAGTAGATGTCTCCTGGAAAAATGTGTGCCTCCAACCAGCTGTGAAACTGGCGCCACATGGCAGCATACTCCTTGGTGGTCCTGGCTGCCAGTGATTCTGGTGGCTCCTGCACCAGTTGCACAGCAAGGGCTTGGAGGTCTGTGGTGATGCAGTCCCCCAGGTGCCCCAACAAGGCTTCTGCACATGCGGCTAGATCTATGGATGGCAGGTGACCGGATCAACAGGGACACGGATGCGTGTTTTGCTGGGGCCAGAGAAATCAATGAGGAGCGCAAGGGTTGCCCATGCCGCTGCACCTTTTGGGTCCGTGTTGCCGTTGGGGCCTGGCAGGAACAGGTCCACAGCCTGGCCCAACATCATGACTCCATGAACAACGGGTTCAAACCATGCGCCGTCAGTGGTGACCTGGCCCACCAATCCCTGGTCGGCCAGTGTGGGCCTTGCAAGCCTCGGCATGCAGGAGTAGGGTAACCCCTAAGTTTAGAAAAAAAAGTCTTCTCATCTCAATCTATTGAGATCTCATTAGATCTCAATAGAATGGGTTATATTCTAATCTCAAGTTTTGGCAGCTTTCTGGGAAATGCATGACTGGCTCTGAAACTTTGTAGGATGATTCTGTATGGTATATTTGTTATAATAATTAAGTTTTGGGACGTTGCGAAGCACAATTGCACGACAGAAACAAGCAATTATACTCCGCCGCAGTATTGACCCATGGGTCACAGCATGCGAGGGTGCACTGGACGGTCGAGTACACGCCACAGGCGCTTATCCCTTTGATGCTTCTTAAACTCCATATCCTAAGGGTTAAAGTTTCAACGAATCAGGGCCCAGATCATCATTCCTAAGCCCTGGCAATGCACAAAAGCCGACATGGTATGCCATCAAGATCCCATGCTGGCCAAGTTCAGCAGACATAGACTGCTACCAATGCCGACCGAACAACTTGAATCCCTAGCTACTTCACTCCTCCTCCTCCCCGGCCAGCAGCTGCATCACCACCTCCTCATCCGACAGGGCGTTGCGCTTGGCCGCGTAGCTGTCGTTCTGGCGGATGAAGATGAGCTTCATCGCACGCATCTGCCCCAGGCGGTTGCGGGCCTTGTGGAACAGGTTGCCCCACAGCGACCAGTTGCGCTCTGATGCGCAGGTGGTTGCGTGCATGCGGAGGACGCGGTTGGCCACGAAAGCCAGGGCCGGATACGAATCCGCCATATGCACCGTCCAAAACTTCAGGCGCAACGGCAGCCCGGCCAGCTCAACCTTCTTCACCTTCGACTTGCCAACCGTCTGCTCGACCTCCTTGCGCGCAGTCAGCGTTGGCATGAAATCACGGCACTCATCCGGTACCCCGGCCAGCAGGAGGTTTCCAAACTCCTTCAACAAGACCCCCTTCTTTGCCGCCTTATTGCGCTCCCTCTGCTCCTCAGTGCTGCCCTCACCATTGCCCGCATACACCTCTGCCGCCAACTGCTTAACCGTCTCACGCTGCTCGCGGGTCAGCTCCTGGCTCTGCCCCTGGTTTGGGGCAGTGCTAGTGTCTGCCATTTTCGGTATTCAATTTTGTTCTGAGTGTCTAGTAAGGAAATATATGGCTTCTAAAGATTTATAAAGAATTATAGTGCCGTACATTAGATAACGACCCAACCGTCTCCTCAAGTGCCAAAAAAGACCTTCTAAATTCTCAATGAGATTCTCAAGAGAAATAATTAGATTAGAAAAACGACTTTAGATGAGTGCCAACCCTATGCAGGAGCACCTTAAGTATCATGCTGAAAGGCGGATTAGCCCAGCAGCTGCGCCCCCATGTGAAATGAGAGGCATCAACCCTATTCCATATATGGCGAAAATCGTCCAGTCATTCTCTCCCTCAATCTCTTTTATTGAGTGGCCGAGTCGTTTATCCACTTTTTACGGACAAACGAATGTCCAGGAACAATCTTTAGAGGCTAGGCCACCTCGAGGCATTACACGTTTCAGAGGGTTGCAAAGATTGGGGATTGGGCGCAGGTACTGGTCAGGTGGGATGGGGAAAAGGGTGACGACGTCAGGATGGGATGTGGGGCCCAAGGCAAGGATTAGGGATTATGGGTGCTACACTACTTTTAGGATGGGGATTGCTATTGGGGTGAGGATGGGGATGGGAACCCTGTCAGAGGGATGGGGATTGAAACCTTGACCAAGGATGGGATTGGGAACCCTGGCCAAGGATGTGGATGGGACCCTGGCTGGCACGATGGGGATTGCAGGCTTTCGCAAGTTTAGGATGAGCTCGCTGCCATAGGATTGGGAACACAGTTGGAGGATTAGAATTGGGTGTTCTGCTGTAAAATGAGGCTGCAGGTGCAGAATTGGGAATACTGACAGGACTGCAACAGACCAAGGATGGATCGTGTAGTTGTCCATAGTTGCTTACTTGGTGTGCTGTTACTTATGGTGCATCTCACAGCGTCTGATGAAAATGTTTAAATGGTGGCCAAAGCCAGTGCCAAACATGCACGTTGTCATGGTCGATTTTGCTCACACACTTCAACTCATGGGTCAGCAATATGGTAAACCAAACACCGAGAGATGTCTTCACAAAGCAAGGCACCCCTGCCCAACAGCACCATAATCAGCTGTCCAGGTATAGCCCATGCCCATGTTCACCAGCACCACATCGGGCCTCACATTACCCACTTGACACACATGAGCACATCTCACCAAAAGCGGCCCCTGCAGGCTGCTCCACTGCTGTCTGCCAAAAGCCTGGCCATCATCAGTGCATGCACCAACATCAGCCATCTCACCAGGCCGCCATGCATTCAATTGTTAGACCTCTGCTTATAAGTCGCGTCCCATAGCAAACCAAACACAAACACAAGGAAGTTCTATGAGTTGGCAGCACTGAATCTAGACTGGGGTTTAGGGGTTTAGGGTTTTAGGGTTTTAGGGTTTAGTCTAACATCAGTGTCATCCATGCACTTTTGCTTCACACAAATGGCTGGCACTCATTGCAAACAACACAACAAACCAGGGCTTGACTCATTTAATTCATGCAGTGTTACTGCCCTCCTCACCCCCTACCGTGGGGGGGACAGGCCTGCCATGTGCCCACGAGTTCATGCCTGGCATGCTCCCAATGCGACTAAACAAGGTGACGAACCTTTAAACGGCAGGGCATTTTTTAGAAAGGAACAAAACATGAACACATAGCCAGCATATGACCATTGGGAACATGACTGAATTTACACATATGAGTGGTGATTCATGATCAGTCATGCTGCACAAGGAGCATGACAACTGTCATGACCATGACTCTGCCTCATGACCGGTAACATGACCGGTCATGAGGCCTCATGAGTGGTCATGAGGCAACATGACCAGATCTATGACAGGAAACCCCCCGCATGACCACATCCATGACCAAGTCGTTCCCCGAGTGGCCCATATAGGCAATGACACTGCCGTGTGGATTCTGTGCACGGGCTCCCCATTGAAGCTCATCACTAGTGCCCACCTGCTGGACAAACGAAAGGCGCTCCCAGAGAAAAGACTAGCCAGTTCAGCACATCATTGAACCAGCTGTAGCCTAAACCTGCCTTCAATAGCACCACGGCCTGCCTCACATTCCCCGCCTGATACTCCCACACACATCTCGCAAAAAATAGCCCTTGGAGGCTGTGTCCTTTCCGTACACCAATAGCAGGTTGAGAATCACATTTCATCACCATTCATTGCCCTCTGCCAGTCCATCCGTCGCCTCATCGTATATGGAAGTGGCATGCACCCGCGTGTTTGCAGCAGCACAAGAACACGGATCCAGGTCGATGCAGCCCGGTGCAAAAAGCTCGTGCACCAGGTCCAAGATGAAATCTGGCATGTACCATTCCTATGTATTGCTTTGGATGAACAGACGCAGGCCGCCATATTGCAGCGCCATATTGCAGCGCCAGTGCAATAGGTGCAGCCAATGCTTGCTCTCGACGTGGGTCTTGGACTTCACCCGGCCCATGCATTTCGACTCGTCAACCATTGCAGGATATCCTATTTTAATTACATGGCATGGAAAGCGACTTGGTGTAAATGAGGAGAGAAGTGAACCGTTGGTGCACTCCGCCAGTTCCACAGTCAGAACAACATTCTTACCTTGTCCGGCCCACACACATCCACGGCACCAACGTATGCGCCAACATATGCCTTAACAGAGGAGATAATGAAAGATCGTCGAGCTGTTTGACAAACATCTGTTCACTGATGACCGGCCCTATTTGCCTACAAAACCATGCTAACAGATTTCCAAAATACTTCATCAGCAAGCAAATCGCTTCCTGCTGGCAAAAGGTAAATAGGGCCAGTCATTCGTGAACAGTCCTTTGTAGTTTGCGCTAAACAAAGTGTTCGCTTTCCAAGGCAGAGTTTGGGACACTGTGAACAAGGCCAGAACGTTTGTGTGTATCCTGCAGTCCCTACTGGCGGTGTAATCACATGCTGGCCGGGAAGACGGCCGGTCACATCATGCCGTACCGCATCCCGAAGCCACTATGCACAATCCTGAGAAGATTTCCAGTCTTCATTGTTTCGTTGTGGCACAACTCCACGCAACTCTGCGCATGGGACAAAATGTGGTAGTACATAGGAGCAAATCTTGTGCAGTTGTCCAAGTCGACTCAAAAGCATTCCAATCGGAACGCCTGGCTTATCATAAGCTTATCGGGCTGTGCACTTTGGCGTATTTAACGTGGAATATTGGTGCCCGACTGTGCAGCTAACCACCTATGCTGGGGGTGAACCACTGGTGCACGCCGTCCTTCTTCATTATCCCGCGTTCCAAACCATGGGCGTTTTGACAGAACACCCTTGTTTGTTCTGCCATACTAACCACAGCATAATAATTTGTTGTTGTGGCCATCCGTGAAATGAAGCAGTCTCCATAAAAAGAACCGCGTACATCACGTGATATGAAGGCCCCTTTCAGCCCAAAATGAAGCAGTCTCGATAAAATGAAACATGTACATCACGTGATCTGAAGGCCCCTTTTAGCGCAAAATTAAGCTTTTTCATAATGTCCATCGCGCCATATGGACGCGCCTCCAATCCTAACTAGGAAGGCGTGTTCTTATCACATGATGAACAGTGTCTTGATACGGATTTGCTTATAAGCCAAGCCGTCTCAAGACCCTGTCCACTATGTGATACGAACGTGCCTTCAGCCCTAAGAAAAGGCACCTGCACAAAAGAAGACAATGCAGCTGTCCATCACATTGCATGTGCATTCATCCCAAAATAAACGTGCATCCATTACCACCGTCGTTTCTTGCCCCCCTTCCCCTTTGCCTTTGTTTCCATGATCCGCTTCAGTCAAGACGACATCAGGTGCAGAACGGCTGCGCTTTGAGGCCTTTGCTGTCATCATGGCTGTTGCAATCTCCACCGCCCACATCTGTCGCCCACTGCTTCACCACGTCCAAGGTGGTTGACTGCAACAGCAGCGGGACATGTGTCAGTCAGTTAGTTATAGACATATAGGCTTAGTGGAGTAAAAATGGACAGGTTGCTATACTGAAGCACACAATTAACACAATGTCGCAAAACCATGCAATTCTTGGTGAGCACCCAACCAGCCTATTTGTAACCCTGACATGAAACCAACACAAACTTTGACAGGAACTCACTTTCTGATTTGCTGCTAGGTGATCTGGTCCAGCGCTCGACATTCATTGGTCATGGGGTCCGGCTGCTGCTTGAAACAGCTTCAAGACACTGCTCTGCCTCCTCGACACTCATAAACCTATACATAAACCTCTGTGCTGCGAGTTCTCCCTCGGCCGAGATCCGCTTCAAAGAGCGTTTGTCGCTTCAGTCTGCTTCGGAATTTGACGCTAGAGGGAATAAGCCATAGAGCAAGAGAAAAATACCTCGCGGAAATAGAAAACCCTGGTCATTCCCCTGATTTACGCCTAAAGAGAAAGCCGATATCACAGCACCTGTGTAAACGTAAGGAGTAGGTTTGTAGCTGGCAAGGGATGGGGATGGGACCCTGGCTGACAGCTTTCGGTTGTGAACACAGCTGCAGGATGGGGATGGCCCTGGTCGAAGGGATGGGGAAGGGACCCTGGCTGGCAGGATGAGGATTGGGGGAACACAGCTGTAGGAGGGGATTGGAAACCCTGGCCGAAGGGATTGGGGATGGAACCCTGGCTGGCACGATGGGAAACCTGTCTCGAGGGATGGGATTAGCACCGGCCCTTAAGATGGGAGTCAGTCACCCAGCCAGGATGGGAGGATGGCTGACCACTACCAACCCCCAGGATTGGGGGATTAGACCCTTTTTGCAACCCTCTGGGCAAACCAGGGCTGTTGGGTGACTGGAGCCATCAGCGGAGATGGATGGGTGCACCACCAAGTACACAGGGATGAATCCGTATCGGGGCGCTCGGTGGTACTCCCCCTGGATCAAGCAGATTCACCGAGCTGCCTGGATGAGGAGGAAGGGGAACCAGGGATGCAAGGGATTGTGTTTATATTTTGAGGAGTTGACAGAGCATTGGGCAGTAGCCAGTGATTATAGGTGTTATGATTGGATGGAACACCTGGCAACAGCAGGTACAAGGCATGGTGAGGCGATGCTGCACTGAGCAACACCAACCCACCACCATCATCATCATCGCTGCGATCAGATGAGATTTCGATGATGGAGGTTCCTGGCTGGGGCTTGTGTTGCTGTTGCAGTCCTGAGGTGTCCGTGCCTACAGCCAGCAGCAGCAGTCTCAATTGTCAAAGGAGATGGGTGGGCACCCAACCATGAACCAGGCAAAAGCACATAGCAACCCACCCGTAAAGTCCATGGCGTGCCGTTGTGAAGATCCAGTGCCATTGATGCATGGACCCGAGGGTCCACTGGCCGGGCATGGCAAGCTCATGGCTCATTGACGGTACCCAATGGCATACTCCAGGCCGGTTCCGGCCTGGTTCCGACCTAACGGGTCCAGTTAACGAGATGGGTAACCGGTCGGTAGGATTACCGGGCGAACCGTTATCCGTTAACCGTCCCCAGTAATCGGTAACCGATGTCGGTAACCTGGCATGAGCAAAAATGCATTTCTGAATGCAACCAGTTTCTTTGTGACAATGCCCATTGTCACAAGGTTCATGCCCACGTGTCACACCCCGACAAGCTTGAGGAGGTTACGGCAATGTGAATGCCGGGTGACAGGGGTGACAGTCTTGTGCAGGCACATTTGGAGACTAGTTTACACTGAGATTGGGGTGATGTTGGATTAGAATACTTGCAGTTCATGAAATTGAGGAAATGTGTTGCATAGGCATATCCAAACGTTTCAGAGGGACGTTGTTTCGCCCGTAACAAACTTGTTACGGGCGAAACAAACTGGATTTCCACAGTCCCACCACTCAAAGAGCTCCCCACACCATCGCAAAGTCCCTTTTTTATTACAGACACATGTAACAAGTTGTCATAGCTTGAGATTGTCGATATATGACTGCTGGATTGTGACCAGGCCATCTCCTTACATGTCTTGCTGCACCAGCATGAGCAGTGATCCCTTCTGTTCAAAATTTTCAGGCAACATCGCAATGAGGCAAAACATTGTGCCGAATCTGCCGTACAAAGAGTGTTCAAAGCTTCACGCTACTAACGGACGAATACATAAGCATTCATTTACCTTGAAAGAATAAAGGAATTCTACAGCTTCATGCAAATTCGCCTATCAGCAACTCTCCCTGGTCGTTCAAAAGTTGCTTGAAGATTCTACCATCTCCATACTATGAAGGAGCGCTTCTTCATTTCTTCATTTTATCTGAACCTTAACGTATCCTTCCAACACAATGTCCATGGACAACGGTAATGAGGTCGGCGCCTACGAGTTTGACCGGAACGCCCTGGACAACATCGCCCGTCGGCGACAAGATCGCCCACGCAAGAAATACAGCCAGCATCGTCCAGTGGATGAGTTTGGAGTACATAAGTTTGCCAGGGCAAACAATCTAAGTCAATTTACCGCGTGCACGCGCCAATTGGAGGATGCCTTGTCCAAGGAAAGGTGCCATATGGACGACCTTGTCAACCTATTGCGCCAATCTAGTGACATGGATGCAAAGCAGTTGCTTGGGGACATCGGCTTGACACCACTTCATGTTGCTCTGGTCGTCTCAAAAGTTTGTCCTAGCATAGCTTGCGTAGCTAGTATTGCCTGGTTTTAGTTGTTGCATGTAAGCTTGTGAGTTGGTGGCCTGGTTCATGCTTATGGGCGACAATTGAAATGCCGGGACAATGACTTATTAGGGACAATGACACGGCATTTCACGCCCTCAAAGCAGGAACAAACGCTAAAACTAAATACATACATAGTTCTAAATCTTCTACTAAAATTTTCCTGCAGTGTTAGAGGCCTTTAATTAATATTGGCGAACGATGCTTCCCGCGCTACGTCTGTATTTTTTCGGGCATTGTATAGGCGAGATATTCGGGAAAATAGGTGAAAGGTATATAGGCCAGTTAGGTGTACACGTATTATACGAGAAATAAAGGCCCAGACCTAAAGAGGGACATATGTACATGTTTGCCTAATAGAGGACCCTGTATATATGTAGAATACCTGACCTTCTTTATGCTATGCGGTATACTTCCAAGCTATACAGATATGTGTACACGTGATGTTGTAAACAACAGTGCCTATACAGGTGCGTGTGTACATGAGCGCCTATTACAAGACCGCTATAGGCATCACGTAATATGCAATGGCCTTTACATGACAGCCTATACCTGACCTTGTTTAGGCTGTGGTGTATACTTGCCAGGTATATGCATGCGTCTACAGGTAATGTTGTAAACAACAGTGCCTATACAGCTGCGTGTGTACATGAGCGCCTATTACAAGACCGCTATAGGCATCACGTAATATGCAATGGCCTTTACATGACAGCCTATACCTGACCTTGTTTAGGCTATGTGGTAAACATGACTGGTATACAGATGTGTCTACATGTGAT